GATCAGAATCTTGTCTTGTGGTTGGTCTTTCTGCGTCTCTTGTCCCCCTTCCCTATCCCTGACTCTCTTGCCCCAGGTTGATGTCCTGCAGGACGGGACAGTTGATTAATAAAGCTGTTTTGGCCAATGGATAGGCAGGATTTAGCCAGCAGGAAATCCAAACAGGGATAGAGAAAGGTAATAGGTGGAGTAAGGGAGATGCCATGTAGCTGCTGAGCAAACAAGAGACCTGGGCATCACCGATAAGCCAAGACCATGTGGAGATACACAGATTAATAGAAATGGGTTAATAATTAAGACAGAACTAGCCACTGAGAAGCCTGAGTCATTGGCCAAACAGTTTATAATTAATATAAGCCTCTGTGTGTTTATTTGGGACTAAATGGCTGCAGGGCTGGGTGGGACAGAAACTTCTTTCTACAGAACCCTCTGCTGTCAGGAACCCAAACAAATCCTCCCCATCTTGTTTTATCAGATATTTTGCCACAGTGGCAAGAATAATAAGGAATGCAAGCTCCCTGAGTGGGGTAGGGGGAGAAGGCATCAGAGGAAGGGAAGGGTGGGTAGAGAGGAAATGATCATGCCAGCTGCAATAGCTCAGATGTATATAACTAACACTTGCTATGTGGCAGGTGGGACTGTAACTGCTGTTACACATTGATCTGCTCAGTTTTTGTAACAGCTCCAGGGTGGGGGGGGGGTACAGTTGTCCCTCAGTGTCTGGAAATGGGCTCCAGGAGTCCATTAGACACTCAAGTCTGTTATATGAATGGCATAGACTCTTCATAGTGTATGCACAGCCTCCTATAGACTGCACACTATTTCCAGATTACTAGCAATGTCTGACATTATACATATCATGTTGTATTTACTGCATGTGCCATATCGTGTTGTTTAGACAATAACAACAAAGTTGATACATGCCTGGCTGGGAGCATTTATTGCAAATATTTTTGATTCCTTAAATATGGTTAAATGAATCTGCAAATGTAGAGGACTGGTATGTTTATTCGCAGTTCACAGATGAGGAATAGGGTAGAAAGACATTAGGCCTTTAAGATTTGCACCCACTCACTCAGCCTGTGTGGCCTGTGCTCTTACCAGTCAGAGAATGTGGTGGGTGTGACTCTTCCCCTCACACAAACAGCCTTAGCCATATGAAACAGTTCATTCAGAGGACTCTGGAGTGGTCTAGGTGATGGGGAGATTGATCCCAGCTGGGGGAAGTTTGCATATGTCTGACTTTGAAACATTGTGTCTGATTTAAGTCAAGGAATAAGAAGATAGCATTTGTTCTTAAACACAAAGGCAAACATTAAAATTATGTTCAAAAGCAACAAAAACATTGTAATCCACAAGTGGAGGAACAAGGAAGCCATTACCATCAAATATCAATAGTGAGCAGGGCAATGGTGGCACATGTCTTTAATTCCAGCACTCAGGAGGAAGTGGTAGGTGTGTTTCTGTGGGTTCGAGGCCAGCCTGCCCTACAAAGTAAGTTCCAGGACAGCCAGGGCTACACAGAGAAACCCTGTCTCAAACAAACAAATGAAACCCAAAACAAACAAAAAATCAAGTCACACACACACACACACACACACACACACACACACACACACCTAGAGATGAGTGGATACACTAGACCTCTTAATACTTTTGAAACTTTAAAATAAAAAATACTTTGTGTATGTATACATGTGCCCAAGTACACTCACTTGCATGTAGAAATCAAAGGACAACTCTTTTGTGAAGTCAGTTCTCTCCACCTTTATGGGGATTCTAGGGATCAAACTCAGTGGCCAGGCTTGTATGGCAAACATCTTTACTTGCGGAGCCATTTTGCAAGCTCTAAATTTTTAAGTTTTATAGCCAATAAGTATGTACATAATGCATATATTTATGGGGTTAGAGCTTAAGATGAGTTCAACCTCTGGCCAGGAGGAGCCTCTTCCATCTACAAAGGAGATTCATACTTGTAAAAAGGACCTGACACATCCTTGAGCGTGGTTGAAAACTATTACTAAATATTTGTTCTAAATTATTGTCATTGGTGCAAAATTAATAGATTTGGTTGGGGTTAATGTTGAAGCTAATGTTTTTAAAAAATTTAGGACCCTTATAAGTGGGCTGACAAATCTGTCTCAAGTATGTCTGTCACCTACAGAAGGAGCATCAGTCATGGTTGCAACTAACATGCCATGCACCCACAGGGCACTTTCCCCTAAAGCTTTCTCACTGAGACCCTTCCTGGTGAAGTCTGATAAAGGTAAGGAGGGAAACTGCAGGATGAGAGAAGGCTAAGGTCTTCTGAGTTCATTCTCAGCCATCCACCCTCTAGTCTAAATTTTTGTCATCATTTCTCTGCAATGCATTCAGGGCAGGGATGACGCTGGTAAAATCCGTTCTAAAGCAGCAAATGGCCTATGATGGGAGGATGTTGTTGTCCCTTGACATACACCATCTGTCCAATAGCCAACAGAACTGCTTCTTTTAAAGGAGAAAACAAATAAAAGGAGAAAGGCTAATTGTTTTCCACAGAGCTCTTCAGAGACCTGCTCTAGGTCAGGGAGAATTACTTGGCTCAATTTCTCCCTTCCCATCTGAGGAGGTACCAGCACTGCCTGCCTGCTAGGATGGTCTGGTTCCCCGAAGCAGAGCCCATAAAGATGGTACTTAGCCAGGGCTAATTCATGAGTGACTGGCTTGTGGCTTCCACCTTAGCCAATGACCCAATATTAATATGACAAGCAGGATTCACATTTACAATGGCATCACCTTAGACTTTAAGGAGGCATTTTTACTTTATAAACTCAGCCTGCTTTCATATATACCTTCTCATTTCCTGTTCAGAAAGCCAGCTCCAAGGCACCTATAATTACTTAATCTTTGAAGACACTGGCTCCCACGAGGAAAGGGTGGAGGCTCCTGTTTACCTGTCCACTGTTCCAGACCCAACCAAGAACAACTCCTTTTGGTTCAGTCCTCAGACCAAGCCTTTGAAACTCACCCAGGATTTCTGCTCAGAGAAAGAATGCAGGTTCCTTGGCTTTCTAGCTTCGTAGCTGCTCAGGTTTTAAACCTTGCTTTTCTTACAAGAAGAATCAGGGCAAAAAAAGATGCCTGTTTTAGAGCAGCGTTAAGCAAGAGAAACGTAAAGTTAGCCCTGAATGTGGGCCGCACCAGTATTTTTATATTTTCCTGGTTATCACATTTTAAAATGGAAATGATTTATAAAAAGATTTCAACACTATCCAAAACATGACCATTGTGACCTGTTATCAGTGGAGTTCTTTGGCTCACTTACCAAGCCCATGAAAACCATTGTATATTTCACACAGCAACATCTCAACTCAGGAAGGACCCTGTGTTTCAAGCGGTCAATAGCCACCTGTGGCTAACAGCAACCAAAATTAAGTAAGGTTTGGAAGGCATACACTTGACCCTCGTGCTGTATTAGATTCCTCCTTTTCCCTTCCTTGCCCTCTCGCGAGGAGAAATTTCTACATTTAAGAGGTCTTTAGTACTCAAGAATTCAGGGCAGGCATGTGACAAATCTAGTTCCAAGCACTTTCCTGCCCACACCAGCAATCGACCTGCAAGTGCGCATCCTCGCTGTCCTTGAAGAAGCAGCCCGGCACCTCTCCTAAACTCCCCTCTTCCTCCCAAGCGGCACCCAGTCTGCCATTTAACTCGCCCTCAGTTACCACCCAGACTTGAAAGAGAATGGTGAGGGAGTTCAACCCCCAGCCCAGGATTGCAGGCGCCCCTGCTCAGATTGACATCTAGTGAAGGCAGGACCCCAATCTCTAGTCTCTGAGTGGTGGGGAGTGGGCGGGATGGGAGAGGAACCGTATTGTGACCCAAAGGTGTGGCCAGTGGCCGAGCAGCTCAGGTGGACGCTGAGGGGAAGCCAGCAGGATCGGCCGAGGGACGCAGTAACGCTGGGACACTGGATGCAGGGCGAGTGCCCCTGCACCTCGCACCGCGCCCCGGCTCCCTCTCGCGGTGCCGCAGTCCCTGCCGCTCCACCCCCTCGGTCCTGCCCCCATGACGTCAGCGCGGACGGGCGGGTCCCCGGGTATAAAAGGCTGAGCTGGGGGAGGGCGACAGGTCTTTGCGCTCCTTAGCCCTCTGTCCACGCACTTCTCCGAGGGCCAGCGCCTCCACCCCTTCTGCAGCCAGCACCATGCGCGAGATCGTGCACATCCAGGCGGGTCAGTGCGGCAACCAGATCGGCGCTAAGGTGGGTGCAGCCCTGGGAAAGGAGAGGGTGGGGTCGCCCGCTCGGACAGGGGTCCGGAGGTTTTAAGCCCAGGACCGGACCAAGCCTAAGGTATCCACAAGAGGCAGGGCTGGTGACGCATTCCAATGCTGGCTACTGGGCGGGCCAGGTCCTGAAAGCCATTCAACCTGCCACGATGAGCGTGACAGGATATCTTAAATCAAGGTCCATTACATTGCTTTGGGACACAGCCCTTTTGCGGGGTGTAGCGGACATTCCTCTGGGTTTTTCGTCTGTGAAATTTGGGTCGGGGGGCGGGGGTCACTGTCATATGTGCTGAGAACCTCATGCCAAATACAATTTGTATATTTTTTAAAAGTCTATCGTATGAATGAAAAAATGCAGTGTCATTGGGTTGACAGATGTTACAGAGGCGTCTCTTTGGGCCAGCAGACAAGGGTGTTAGACAAATTCGCTTACAAGTGCTGCTCCAGACTTGACATAAAATGCAATGGTCGTCTTTCTGTGAGACATCAGGTGACTGCATGGAATCAGGGCTGTAAGACCTGGAGGCAGCAGTGGGCATTCAACATGGGTGTGGGCGGGCGCCTGTACAAGGACATGGTCTCTTTCAACACCGCCATATTGCCCACCCAACCTCCCCACCCCCTTCCCTGCTGCCAAGTCACAATGAAGGCTGCATCTTCAGGATGGCCAGTTTTTTCAAGGGCTGCCAGGCGCCCTCTTAGGATTGTGCTGCCCATCCCGAACATTCCTAGCCCGGGGGCAATACCCGGAAACGAGTATGTAGGTCAGTGGTATAAAACTGGGCTGTTGAAAGCTGCCATGGAGTCTGTGCCAGGAGCCATTGATCCCATGAGGCGCAGGGGGTGGGGCACCTGGTCTTTCCTTCTGCCCTTCCCATCTATCAGCCTGTATGTAGTAACATTTAGCCCTGTCTGAGTCTGACCAAGGCCTTTCTGGGTGACGTTAGGATTGTGAGCATGATATGATTCCCTTCATTTCAGTTTTGGGAGGTGATAAGTGATGAGCATGGCATCGACCCCACCGGCAGTTACCATGGTGACAGCGACTTGCAGCTGGAGAGAATCAATGTGTACTACAATGAAGCTGCTGGTAAGGCTTTGGATGTCAGCCTTGCTTTCCATACTGTGGCAGAGGAAGTGGCTGGGAACATGCAAACAACAAGGAAATGCTTTTTGCATACTCATTTAAAATGCCACCTGCAAAATAGATAGATAAATAAATAAATAAATGAAAGCACTTTGTAGCTCCTGAAGACCTCTGCATGTTTGGTGTGATTAAGCATGCTTCATGTCTCCATTTTCTTTTTCTTCCTTTGTCTCAATGCTGGGATTTCTGTAATGAATTCTGCTGCTACATCTTTGTTCTTGCCAAGCCCAGTTGTAAGTCAGCTCTTGTCCCCACAGGCAACAAATATGTACCTCGGGCCATCCTGGTGGACCTGGAGCCTGGCACCATGGACTCAGTGAGGTCAGGACCCTTCGGCCAGATCTTCAGGCCAGACAACTTTGTTTTCGGTATGTCGTCATGCTCCATGAGAGCTGGCCAAGTGACTCACCCCTTCCTAGCAGCCATGGGCTTTACAGTTGTGTGTGCAGTGCCCAGCTGAGCCTGTGTCCACAGACCACAAGTCCTGGCCTAACCTGTGCAGCTGACAAGATCATGTCTGTTGACTCTTGACAGCTCAGAGGAGAGTGTATGACTATAGAGGCTGTTAAAGGCCTCCATGAGGAGCAGCTCTGGGGGGAGGGGTGGAGAGGATGAGAGTCTTCAAAGAGGACATCACAGGCTGCAGGAGATTTCAAAGGACCAATGATGCCAGGCAACCACTTCAGTGACCAAAGTGTAGAGCTTCCTTGCCCTTCCTCTTTAATTATAGTTAATTAAGAGTATCTACTGAATGTTCCCTGTGTTTACTTTTAGGAGCCACTGAGTGTTGTTAAAATGTGCCTTCTTCAACTCAATTCTTACTTTATTATGATCCCCAGGATTTTTGAGGTCATTGTTACACTGGCAATATTATCTTCCCCAAAACCAGTATAACTAAAAGACTACTAAGTGTTCTCTAAGGCCAGTTTTTGCTTTTCTCTCACGGTCCAATGACACCACCCTGAATTATTAAGTGTCTAATATTCTCTTTCTCTCTTACAGGCCAGAGTGGTGCAGGAAATAACTGGGCAAAAGGCCACTACACAGAGGGCGCTGAGCTGGTGGACTCCGTCCTGGATGTAGTGAGGAAGGAGTCTGAAAGCTGTGACTGTCTCCAGGGCTTCCAGCTGACCCACTCCCTGGGGGGAGGCACTGGCTCAGGCATGGGGACCCTGCTCATCAGCAAGATCCGAGAGGAGTACCCAGACCGCATCATGAACACCTTCAGTGTCATGCCCTCGCCCAAGGTCTCTGACACTGTGGTCGAGCCCTATAATGCCACCCTCTCCGTGCACCAGCTGGTGGAGAACACAGATGAAACCTATTCCATTGACAATAAAGCCCTGTATGACATTTGCTTCCGCACCCTCAAGCTGACCACACCCACATATGGTGACCTCAACCACCTGGTGTCAGCCACCATGAGTGGGGTGACCACCTGCCTGCGCTTCCCGGGCCAGCTGAATGCAGACCTGCGCAAGCTGGCCGTGAACATGGTGCCCTTCCCACGCCTGCACTTCTTCATGCCAGGCTTTGCACCTCTGACCAGCAGGGGCAGCCAGCAGTACCGAGCCCTGACAGTGCCTGAGCTCACCCAGCAGATGTTCGACTCCAAGAATATGATGGCCGCCTGTGACCCTCGCCACGGCCGCTACCTGACCGTGGCTGCCATCTTCCGTGGCCGCATGTCCATGAAGGAGGTGGACGAGCAGATGCTCAACGTGCAAAACAAGAACAGCAGCTACTTCGTGGAGTGGATCCCCAACAATGTGAAGACGGCCGTGTGTGACATCCCCCCTCGAGGCCTCAAGATGTCAGCCACCTTCATTGGCAACAGCACCGCCATCCAGGAGCTGTTTAAGCGCATCTCAGAGCAGTTCACTGCCATGTTCCGGCGCAAGGCCTTCCTGCACTGGTACACGGGTGAAGGCATGGACGAGATGGAGTTCACCGAGGCAGAGAGCAACATGAATGACCTAGTGTCTGAATACCAGCAGTACCAGGATGCCACGGCTGATGAGCAGGGCGAGTTCGAGGAGGAGGAGGGCGAGGATGAGGCTTAAGAACTTCTCCAATACATCGTGCACCCTTAGTGAACTTCTGTTGTCCTCAAGCATGGTCTTTCTATTTGTAAATTATGGTGCTCAGTTTGCCTCTGTCAGAAATTCACTGTTGATGTAATAGTGTGGACCTCCTTTCAAGATTACAGTATTGTCTAAGATATCTATACTAATAAAAAGCATGTGTATAAAACCTGAAGTCCTTTTTTTCCTTGACATCTTATTTTTTTTTCTTTTGAAATCCAAAGCTTCAGGAGATAGCACTGTGGGTCTTCTGTTTAGTGTTTTAATTTTTAGCATTCCAGATAGCCCATCAACTTGTAGAATGAAGGACGAAGACAAACCTGGCTTTTGACTCTTAGGCAATAAAAGCATGTTGTAAATGCAAGGTGTCTTAAAATAGCAAATGCAAACACTAGAAATGTTTCACATGAAATTTATTTGAAAATAAATTATGGTAAGAATTTATTTTAGACAATGATAGAAACTCATAATTTAATGTAAAAAATGTATTCATTTTTGGCAGCTATTAAAGCTATAACCTGATTTGGGTATGCCATTTTTCCTGCTTGCACAAAGTCAGATCATGGGAAATGTAGAAAGCCTGGTAGGTCTGTGTACTGAGGATAAAAGCAAGGAAGGCATTTTGGAGCACACTGGTAACAGACAAGGACATGATCCTTCAATACAGATTCACCCAGAAACCAAAGACTTCCTATAATTTCATTGTAGAAAGTCTTCTGCCAACTTGTTGAATTCATTTGCAAAACGTAAATGCAGATTATGCTTGCCTTCTGGCATCAGATGCAGCCTAAGAAACAAAGCAAGCTTTTGGTCAGTGGTACATATTTAAAATGCTTTCACCTCATCAACACTTCATGGGCATCTTTTAGAACTATATAAACTTTCCATGAATGTGAATTCTAGGGTGAACTCCTTAATGGAATTCTGACCACCCCAGAAGTAGAGCATAAAGCCATCACTGTATAGTGACAATGTTTGGGATTGCATCAGGTAACAAAAACGGTTAGACTGGAAATCAGTGGGGAGAGTAACCTGGTAATTATTTTTAAAGTCCATTTTTAACAAATGTGTTTTTAAAATAGACTATTGGGGAAATGATTACAAAAATAATAGGGGTGATAGTGACTGGCAGTAATCCCAACTCTTAAAAGAAAAGATGATAAAAATGAGAAACGGTCAGAATTCCCTGAATTGCACTGGTGAGGTTTTTGGGTATCTGCATAGTGGGCAGGCCAAACAGGAATTCTCAGCCAGCAGCAGCCTCCAATCAATGTTCCAGGCCATCTTGTCATGTTCAGAGTGCAGAGCAAGTAAGCCTGACTGCAGCCGGCAGACAGATGGAAAAATGCCTTAGGAATTCTGGGTGGGTGACGGGGTTCAGCACCAGCCATGTGTGCAAAGCCACTACTGCAGCTGTCACATCATGTCTTTTGGTGGACCCCTCTGTCCTGGAAAAGCTTCTCGCATTTCATCTGATTTTTTTCAAAGAGGACTGATTTGCAACTTAAAAAAAATACAATTTAAAAATCTTATTTATTAGCTTCTAAAGTATAGAAATGGTGTTTAAACAAGCTCAAGTGCAAGCCATGATGTCTACAATGACAACTGGGTGTCAAAAGAACTAGACTGGAACAAATTCCAAGGATACATTCTGTACTCCGATCTTTCAGTAGTGGTACTGCTGATGGCTCTTAGCAATTCAGCAGGCAATAGGGAGGACTCTGGGGGACGGCAGCCATCCTCAGAAGATGCTGGGCCTCTGGCAATTCAGCTATGCCAGTGGCAGGGGTGGGAGGACCATCAAAATCAAGTGAAAAAGGAAATACACACTAACAGCATCTTTTAGAGGTTAATAATGCTACGTAAAGTTAATAATGCTATTACTAATAACCAGAATATGTTAAGTTTAAAAAGTATTTCTTAGAAGGGATGAGTTATAACAGCCCCAAAGATGATCCAGCTGCACCACACAGGTGTGGGGCTACAGGGATGCTCAAAGATGCAGTTTTTAGGATGTAGAAAAGACTCAGGACGCTGAGGTAACAGGACAAGTGTAGGCCAAACTACAACCATTTATCTGAATTTAGCTGGGTTCAGAGGCCAAGAAACCCCATCCTGACAATCCTGAAATACATCCAGAGATGCCCAACTCAGCTGTCACCTGTTCTGTCTCATTTCTTCAATCTACCTGTTCCCAATAAGGACAGGAATAGGCCAGCTGCAAATCACCCTTTTAGCTATACAGCGAAGCCTAAAGTTTTTCTACAACATCTCTAGATCTTGGGAAAGTAAACATGAGATTTTTCATATTAAAAATATGAGAGGACCACTGTAGATACTAAATGGGTGCATTAGCGGATGCACGGATGGACAGTGGATGGGTGAATGAGCGAATGGGTTGGTAGATGCATGGATGGACAGATGAAAGTATGGAGAAAATTGGTCTCCTTGATGCCTTCCCAGGGTTTTAGTGCAAATCCTCCCTTCACTCTGTGTGGCACCTACTGTGAATCCTCTTGGGAACAGGACCAGAACAGCCAGGCACAAACACTTAGCCAAGCAGCCGCTCTGCTGCTGATCCGGTTCTTACCCAGACAACAAAAGGAAACCCACGCCTCACCAAGTGGCTTTCAAACAATCACATTCTCCAGGAAAATTAGTAGGAAAGCCTACTACTAAACACATGTCACACCCCTGTGGACGGGCCCTAACAGGGTGAAAGTTCCTATTGTAAGGGAGGGGTCCTTTATCAGGTGACACCTTTAGAAAGTCTAGATCTCTTGACAAGAAGCTGTAAACCCGTGGTCATCTCAGCTCTGCTGATCCAGCCCCTCTCAGGCACAAAGTGTTGAGAGCATCATGTAGTTTAGAGAACTCTGAGCTGAGCATGGAAAGCTGATGGTTGCATGGGGGATGCTCCAGCATCACTGCAAAGTTGAGTCTTTCTTAGAAGACAGCGAAGGCAGGAACCCCCTAACTTTGGTGTGGCAGCCAAGCTAGCTGGTTCCAGCACAGTGGTTTGACCCTGCTGTGCTGTCGCATCCTTTCCAGTCAGCTCAGCCCTGCTCCTGCCTCCAAGAGCCTCTTCACACCAGCTCTGGAGGATGATGGGTACCAATTACCACTCAACAAATTTCTCTGATGGCTGCTGGGCCTGCTGCATGCTTTGAAAAATGTCCCCCCAGAGTCAAGAAGCCCTTCAGCCAGGAGGGAGGTCTGGCTACACAGGAGCCCTGAAACTAGGATCAGGGCAAGAGGTCTGTTTAGCTTTCTGCTGCAGTCAAAACAGCTCTGACTATGGGGTTTTACCCAAGAATTTCTGTGGGAGAAATACAGCTGCCTAAAAGTAAAATGTTAAAACAAAGTCTTCTTGCTTTGAAGAGACTATGAGTCCTCTCCTATGAAGAGGAAAGAAAGGAAGGAGACAGACTAACAAAGCTGGAGGCTGGTCTCCTTCCAAGAAGGTAAAAGCAGCATAGTGTGACTCATATACAGTAAGTGCTTCTTGGCAAAAACCCACGAGGACAGACCATGCCTTTAAGTGTAGTTAAAGACGAGCCTGGCAAGGTGTACAGCTGCCCTGCCACAGAAGGCCTGGCGCAGATTCACAGCAGGGATTTGCAGCTCTAGGAATCCAGTTTCCTTCTGTGGCCTCCCAAGGAAGCCAGGCAAGGGCGTGTAGGTACCCACACAACATAAAGGGCTCTTTTAGCAAAAGGAGTGGAAAATACAAACCAGTTTTAGAGAACTGTTGCTAATAACTTTTTACCTCCAACCTGTGAGTTCCAACAAATACTGTTATAAGAAAACTATTTTCAACCAAATACACAGGAAGGGCACATTTCTCTTCAATATCGATGTATTCTGTTGCTAGGAGATAGGTTTGGAACAGAATTCCTAGACGAAACTTTCTTACAGACAGATGTTTAGTGAGTTTGGCTCCTTAAGGGAAGTCTCTGCATTAATCATGAGGGTCAGCAAAACCCGGTCATTTCTGAGGCAGAAGACAGTCAACCAGGCCACCTCGCATGGCTGTGTGACCATCTCTTAAAGGGTACATTCATGAGAGACAGTTGTGCTGCGGTGAAAAAGTTCTGTTTTCAGAAAATCCAGGACTTGTCATTTACTAACTAAATAGCTTGAAAAACTCCCTGTTTAACATCGACCAGCCTTGATTCTCATCTAAAAAGATGGAACTAAGTTTGTAGTGAAGAATAATTAGATATTTTATGTAAAATATCTTTAAAATACAAAATTCTATGAGGAAACACCACATTGCATAGTTTAAATGTATAAAATTAAAATAAAACATAGAGGCTGAGATGAATAGAAAACATCTGGGAGATTAATAAGAAAATAAACTATTTGAATTTTGTGCCACAACCATGACTTAGTATAGTAGTAGTATAATTTTACAAAATTCAAGTTTGCAAATGCCTTAAATACTATGAACTTCTAAATTTTTGTAAAAATCCTTTATGTTTACTCACAAGGCAGTTTTAATCTAACTTCTACTTTTATTCTTCACTTACTCTACATTCTTTCCAAAGTGGTTGTTATTCCTGCCCATATTCTTGTTTAACTCACGGTTGAACTGGTATTGAGGGAATACATGGGATGAACACACACACACACACACACACACACACACACACACACACACTTCATATGTAGGGAGATATATAAATTACTATGCAATTGTATTTTGCTGTGGAGCAAGAAACACCCCCTCCCCTTACTTCCAAATCCCCAGAGAAGCCCTCGCTAAGAAGACTGGCAGTGGAGCTGCTGGGGTGCCAGCTTTCCCTGCTGGGCTTCGGGGACTTTGGAGAAAAGGTCCCTGAGCTAAGTAAATAGTGTGCTAAGCAGTGCTGAGTACATACTTAAGGTGGATATGACTTGTAGAGCTTATAATTTTAGTGAGGAAAAAAGCTTCAGAGTTGAATACAGAATATGACTGTATCTATGAGGGTGGCCAGCAAAGGACAATTTGCTTTCTTAGTTTGGTTTTCTGAATGCTTTTTATTGTTATTGTTTTTAAATGAGCTAAAAACACAAGATATATCGAATTGTTGCCAATGGTGCTGCATCAGTACCCAGGAACATACTGGCCTCACTGTGCTCAAAGACATTGACCAGAGTCCTTCTGCTGAGTGTCCCCAGAGCTCCGAGCTCAGGTCTTCTGTGCCTGTGGTTCTCTAAACACTGTGGGACTCTCTGACCAAATGGGGAACACACACACCCCGAGCCCCCACTCGCCTACTTCTTTTCCTTCCTGGGGCTGCTCTCACTTCCTCAGAGGCTTTGAGGAGCCCAGAAGTTGCAGAGGCTGTAACAAGACTCACCGTGACCCTTTCACATGCTTGTGAAGGAAGTCAGCATGAAAACGTGGGACCAATGGGTCCTTCTCTCCGTGCACAATGAGGGTTGGGCACTGGACCAGGGGCAGCAAGTGCCGACAGATGTTACCTGAGAGAAAAGAGCACAGGAAATCCCCTTAGCACAGCCTCTCTGCAAGGAAGCAGCACAACTCTGCAGTGATACACTGCTAGGCACCAAAGGCTTGGTCCCCAGAGAGGTGCCATTAGGAAGTGGTGAAAACCTCAGGGTGTGGCCTTGTGGGACATCCTTATCATTGGGGACATGCACCTGAAGGGGATTGTTGAACCCTAGCCCACCCTTGCTTCCCTTCCATTCTCTGACTTTGGCTGTGACCACCTTTGCTCCAGCAAGAGCTCCCAGTGCCTCACCATAGACACAAAGCAATGAGGGCCCTTGCTCATGTCTGAGAAGCTCCAGAAGAAGCTCAAAAGAAGCCCTTTCTATCATCTTAGGTGTTTGGTAATCCGCTGACACACATGTGCCTCTGCATCTTGGCTTCCCTGTCAGTGGGAGCCAGTTTGATCTGTAGTTCCTTCCAATTTTTACATCCTTAGGCTTCCCTCTTCTATTTCCCTGCTCCACTTGCTTGTTTTGATGCTCTACTGGTAAATAAACAACTTTTCTTGATTTAAATTCATTATTCATGCAAAATGGTAGAAAAGTCAAATAAGCAAACCAACCCCACCCCCAAAGTCTTATATTACAAAGAGGCAGCCTGTCAGTCATGTTGACAATGCCTGGCACTTGGAACCTTCTCCTTTGAGGTTTCATCTCAATGGCTGAAGGCCTAGCCAGTTGTCAGGATGCAGGAACTTCACAGTGAAGTTAGCCTGTACACAGGATGCCAGTTACTCTGCAGTGCTTGTGCTTTAGTGACACTCCTGACTACCACACCGTGGTGGCTCCTACCCAGCCAGAGCCAGAGCTTCCGTCTCAAACAGCGATAACCACAGTTGCATGGTCAGCAGTATTGAAGGTTCTGGTATCCAAGCCACTAGCTCTTTCTCTGCTCCCCTCCCATCTCTGCCTGTTTGAAAAGGAAGGTGCTATATAACCGAGCTGGCTGAGATCCAGGGCGTGTGGCACCGCCCACCTGGCGCCAAGCCTCTGCCCTTCTCTTCAGCTGGGGATCACTCTACACCAAGGGAGAGGGACCAATTGACTGGGGAAGCACTACTCTGGGCAGCACACACCTGTCAGCTGTATGGGGTGATGCTGATGAAAGCCAGCTCTACAGCTGCTTGCTGTGGCAGCATATGGCAACACTTATAGCACTTACACTGTGTTTTGTTTTGTTTTGTTTTAATTTTGAGACAGGGTCTCACTGCATATTTCTGGCTGGATTGGAACTTACTATGTAGACCAGGTTGGCCTCTAACTCGCAGATGCACCTGTCTCTGCCTCCCAAGTGCTGTGATGAAAGGCACATGCCACCATGCCAGGCTAGCCCTTATATTTTAATTCATTCAATGCTGACAAACATTTGTAAATTAGGTGCTTTTCTAAAATCACAGTAATAACACTTGTGTGATAACTATCCATGGCTGAATATATGTTATCTCACTTAATTCCCACAAAACCTTATGAGGTATGTATTAGTATATTCTCCAGAAACTAAGTCACTGCCCAAAGCCGTTCTGACAGAAAGCCAAGACCTCAAACCCAGGCCCTGATGATCCCACAGTTGTGCAATCACCCATGTTGGATCAAGTGTCTGTAAACCTGAGCACCCTGCCATGAACAAAAGACTCCTGTCAGATCAGTAAATACAGAAGGGAGACAAACGATTAAGTCCTGCTATTAGATGATTTCCATATTGGATTCTTTATTAGGATGTGCTTCTGAACAGTCAGTTTAACACTATTTCCATCTCTCCATTGCCTTCTCCCAGAAAGCACTGAACTACACGTCTCAGTGTGTTCTCTTTCATGGAGAACTGACTCACTTGGTTTAATGCCACCTTTTTCTGTTGTTTGAAGATTCAAGGGTACACATTTTAAGGACTCGTTACTATGGATGAAAACTGCATTTCAACAGGATCATTATAAGGCACACGGATTTGCTCTTTTGAACTTCAACCAGACATGTAATATTTCCAAAGTCCCTTTCATTGCAAAAGCTTTGACATTACAGATGATTCATGCTGGAAAGGATTAACTAATAGATTAAACTGTCCCTTCAGACACAAGCATTCTGCAACAATGTTTCCAAGATTAAATCTTAGCTACTCTATTCTTACAGCAATTACAAACTACAAAGAAGGAGGGGAAATCATCAATTCCAAGCAGCTTGCTGTGGTCTGGATCTTAGTGTTCCCCAAGACCCCTAAGTTAGAACTATTCTCCAGCGTGGAGCAGGAGAGAGTGGAGGGACCTTTGAAAGGTGGGGCCTAGTGGAAGCTCGTAGGAGATTGGGGGGTGTGCCTTTGGAGGAGATGTGGACTCCAGTCTATGCCTCCATTTCCTCTTTGTCCATGAGGTAAATGGCTTTGACTTGTCAAGCTTTCCTACTGTGACGGACTGCACCACCAATGGCAGTGGGTCTCCCTAGTTATAGATCAGACCCCCCAGAACTAAGTCACAATACACTTTTCCTCTCAGTAAGCTGATTATCTCAGGTGTTTGTGACAGTGACAGAAAGCTGACTAAGTACATAGCTATATTAAAACAATTTTGAATTCAGCTTTAAGATGTTAATTTTTACTGATAATCTTATTAGTTTTTAAGATAAACAAAAGAAGGTACTTGTTCACAACTAAGGTTATATCACTTGGCTCTGAAGTTGAAAAGAGAATTGAACAGTCTCTTCCCCTTTCTGGCTCTCCTGGGGCTGAAGAAAATTTCAGAGACTTCCTCTTGCTTTGTCCTAGAAGATGAGTAGGGGTGGACCTATCCAGATAGAGAAAAAAAATCTATATAGTGACTCTCCTTCTAATGGCCTATTCTCCAATTAGAAGGTAGAAACAGGTTTTGGGGAACAGATCTGTGCTGCCACATATGCAAAGGACTGAAGGAAAATGAGCAGACTGTTGTTAGAGTCTCAATGTGAACCTTTGTTCACATGGTCCTGTCCAGCACTTACACTTATTATTATGTCCAGTAACTTGTGTCTCTGCTCACACATTAACCGTGTGAGGATAATGGGTGTGTTTGTTCATTACGGAGGAATGCTGGGACATCAAGGGAGGAACTCAAGCATTGCCTGCAATTAGCAAAGGAACCATTAGTCCATCAGCTTACCATCTGGCAGATGTTTAAACTGGTTTATGCCATCCACCCACTTCTCACAGGTTTTGGCAAAGTAGTCATATCCATACAAGGCTTCCAGAGGTTTCCTTGCCTTCTCACTCCATTTAGAAACATCACGGATACCTGAAAAACAGAGGTGTGGACAAGGATGAGAACAGTTTCAGACTAAGGTATTATCTTGAAGTAACCCAAGTCAGGCTACCTCTGGGCCTCAGGTTCACTGTCCACCTGCTGGGAAGACCTTTCTCAATACCTGTGTGGCTCACTCACAAACTCTAGGTCTCTGCCCACATGTTAAAGAGCCCTACCCACCTGCATGCACTGTGTGACTTTCCCTTTCTGTCTGCTCTGCTTAGCACTTACACTGTATGCAGGGCTTTCTGCCTTATGCTTGACTGTCCATCTTCCCTTAGGGATGTGTGACCAGTGCAAGGGTTTTTGCTTTATGACTTGCACATCAGACCCGAGGCTGAGCCTCTCACAAGAATAGCATGATGAATCATTAGTGTCTAAATGAAATCAGAGCTGGGTTGAACTATTTCTGCTAAAGATAATAAGATAAAAGGAAGACATTTCTCTAATTGGTGTCTCCAGAGTAAGAATGACATTATAGTTATCTTTCAGTTCCTAGAGTGTTGTGAAACAGTTTCCGATAATATTGAAACACCCTGTCTTGCAGAAAGTTCCTTAAGTAGGAAGGTAAACAACTCAAAAATAACTTCAGGAAGTCCCTGAAACTGGCCAGATTCACTAGGCCCCTCCCTGTCAGAGTGAACAATAAAAGCTAAGAGTCCTTCTGACTAAGGAAAGCTGAGCTGCAAAGACATTTCTCAGAGAAGAGCTACCTGGAAGAAGCAGAAGCCAGCTGAATTGCCTGGAAGAGATTTAGACCAACTGAGTCACCCGGAGCAGACATTCTCCAACCTGCTGGGTCACCTCTGTGTTCCCAGTTTTGTAAGCTGTCACCTATATTTGAGTGGGCTTTTTGATACAGCTGCCTTTGAGTCGTTTTCTGTTCTTTGTAAGTGACCCCAATAAAACTCATGGTTCACCAAGTTGGACTTTAGCGGTATCCATACTTTGGTCTGTCATGGGATCCCTCTCTGGGGTGAGTAGACATGTGTGTGGCTTCAAACTGTGGATGCTCTGGCCCATTATGCAAAATTGCAGAGAATGTATACAGAACTGACACAGAAACTCCCAAATACATAAACCATCTCTATATTATTTTATTTTAACTCATGTAACTTAAATGCTATATTAGTAGAATGCTATGTTGTTTAGGGAAATCATGACCAAAAAAAAATCTGTATATGTTCAATGCAGAGGCAATTTAATTTTTAGATACTTTTGGCCATGGTTGATTGACCCACTGATGCAGATATAAAGGTCCAGCTATTTAGAAAAGTTTTTCTGGCACATTTGAAAAACAAACAAATGATGCAAAGGACTGACAGAAAATGAACAGACTGCTGTTGAATCATCAACATGAACCTTTATTCGCATGGTCCTATCTGGCACTTACACTTATTACACAAGGGCTCTGTTAAAGAAAAAGGATGTAGAGTTAACTATTAAGCCTTTAAAATAATGCAGCAAGGGGCAGGAGAGATGGCTCAGAGGTTAAGAGCACTGACTGATCTTCCAGAGGATCTGGATTCAATTCTCAGCACCCACATGGCAGCTAACAACTGTCTGTAACTCCAAGATCTGACATCCTCAGAGACATACATGCAGGCAAAACACCAATGCAAATAAAATAAAAAATTATGTTTAAAGAAAAAATTTAGCAAATGTGAGTTACTCAGCTTGATCTTTTCTGTACTTCCTAAGGCACTATGGTCAAGATCCTGTTGCTTCTGAACATGGATTAATTTACGTATAGTTCTGGAATGAAAGGTGTCTATGGGAACGTCCGATCTGTGGCAACTCTTCAGGATCCCAGAGGAAGGAGCACAAAATCTCAGGGCAGGGAAACCCAGCTGCTGCTGGGCAAAGCCAGAGGTCTAACAAGCAGTGGCTTGGTCTAACAAGCACAGGCTTGGAAGTCAAACTGATTATGTAGGAGACCCAGCTCCTAGACTTGCTGCTGTGAGAGACTAGGTGAGGCACTTAAACCTCACTGTGCTAATATCCTAATCAGAAAGTATGAATTATGAATTATATTAACACTGTCAAATAAAGAGTAATTGCATGGAATTTGCCAACAATGGTGCCTGGCCTGTAATACATACTCAAAAAGATTCTTTGCATTTATATATTTACTTCTGTTATTTTATTTAAACAGGAAGCCATTTCTGTCCCAAAGCATAATCACTACCCAAAATTAGTAATTATGCTCCATAGGCAAGTGCCCAGAGTAACCAAATGAATCAAACTGTTTGTTGATCCACAAAGAATTTGGATCCCCAAAACAAGCTGACATATCTCCCCCTCCATTTCCTTTTAGAACATATAATCCACACTAAACACTAGACTCACAAAGAAAACTTAGTAATTAATAGTGAATTCAGCAAGCACAAGTCTGCTAAGTGCCTGTTCCCACCAATATAACCTTGGATAATGTGGTGGTTTCAATGAGAATGGCCCCTAAAAGCTCATGTATTTGAATACATGGCCTCCAATTAGTAAAACTGTTTAGGAAGGATTAGGAGGTATGGCCTTGAAGGAGGTGTGTCACTGGGGAGTGGGCTTTGAGGTTTCAAAAGTGCATACCATTCCCAGTTAGCTCTCTCTGCCTCCTGCTTCTGGACCAGAGGCGAGCTGTCATCTACTGCTCCAGCACTCTGCCTGCCTGCTGCCATGCTCTTTACCACGACGGTTATGAATGGCAACCCTCAGGAACCATAAGTCCCAAGTTAAAGGCATTCTTTTATAAGATGCTTTGGTCATAGTGTCAGAAAAGTAACTAATACAGTGAACTGCAGCCTTTGCCTTCAAGATCCTTACAGTCAGGGCTTGTATCCATGGTTAGTGAGGGAAACAAAGATATCCTAGGCAAGGAGGAATATTGTGGGACTGAGAGAGCTTTGATTTTGTTTCAGAAAGCAGGGAAACTCAGAACCACTGTGGCAGGAAACTTATTCTACAGTGACTAAGGCAAAGGAATAAGAGGGTGGCAATGACCAGGGCAAGTACCATAGTGTGGGCGTGTGCATCCATTTCATGTCCACCAGGCTTAGGGCTCTGGGACACCTTCTCAGAGGTAGTACCCTGGCTTCTGGGTATTGGGGTGACTATTGAGAAAGATGTGGCTGGGAGAGGGCAAGGAGCATCCCAAAGGCAGCTTTTCAATGCAGGAATCCCACAGGAAGATAGGGAACAGAGAGTTAGAGAGCAGAGTGGAGCCAGACTGGCAGGGGCCAGCCAAGCTGAGTGGACTTCTTTGAAATTACTAACAGTTTTTTAAAGTGGGAGATGGAATGGCTTGATTCTTGCCTTACAAAGGATTGTCTGCTGTGGAGGAGGGAATATCCCATGAACCCGAGATTCTGAACTGGGAGAGTAAGGGGAAGGGGGGTGGGGGGCTAGGTGAGACTACCATTCAAGAGTCCTTGTGTGGCATCAACAGAACAAAATCACAGTGAGAGGTAGAGAGCAGAGGACTGAGCTCTCAAGGGAAACTCATGTGCATCCAGAGGGTGTGGGCGTTAGCTGAATGATAGAGAAAAGCCAGTGAGTAGAGATGGGGGTGGTGCTCAATTTTAGAACATGATAGTCCATGTCCTGAACTTAGAAGAACTGAAACTGTGCAAAGTATGTTTCCCAAATCTAGGCAAATTAAATACTAATAGCAGAAAGCTATCTAGGAAACCCCAAGTATTTAGAAATGAAACATTCCATTTCTAAGTATCTACCAGTGAAAGGCATAGTCTGAAGAGACATGAAAAAAAGATATTTTGAGATATCTTTTGATGAGCCAAAATGCTACACGGTAAAATCTGTAGCTGTGACAGCTAATTTTAGCTGTCAGCTTGACAATATCTGGAACCAACTAAAAGCCAGGCTACTGGGCACTCTTGTGAGAGATTTTCTTAATCAAATTATTTGAAGCAGAAAGAGCCACCCTATATCCAGACCATACCCTTCGGTGTCAGCCCATATCAAAGGACACGGAAGAAAGGAGTTTCTTTTTACCTGCTTGCCTTCATTCTTGCTGGCAAGTCCATCTGTCATGTGTTTAGGTGTGCTAGCTAGTCAATGTCACACAAGCTAGAGTCATTTGGGAAGAGGGATCCTCAATTGAGAAAATGCTCTCACCTGGTTAGCCTGTGGGCAGGCCTGTGGTAAACTTTCTTGATTGACGATTGATGTGGGAGGGCCTGGCTTATTATGGATGGAACCACCCCCTGGGCGGGTGGTCTTGGGTGCTCTAAGAAAGCAGACTGAGCAAGCAAAGAGGAAGGAGCAAGCTCATGAGCAGCATGCCTCCATGGTCTCTACTTCAGTTCCTGCATCTAGGTTTCTGCCCCAAGTCCTTGCCCTGACTTCCCTTGGTAATGGAGTGACCTCAGAGTTGTAAGGTGAAATAAACCCTGCCCCTCCCTAGTTGCTTTTGGTCAAGGCAACATTCATTCAGCAATATTCAAACCATGATCTTCAGGATTCCAAAGTAGACAGAGACCAGCATCTGTCTGAGAATCCTAAGCCTGCAGAACGAGATTGTAAGACATCCAGACTTGCTGATGGAGACACGACTAGATTCTCAGTTGTTTCAGTGTGAGACAGCCCTTGTTGGGGTACCCAGACTGCATCCTGTACATCAATCTAATAAATCCCCTTTATACATATATGGGTTATTAGAGCTGGCCACTGTAGAGGAAAATTTATAGCATTCAGTGATATATTAGAAAAGAATACACATCTCAAATCAATAATCAAGACTTTTACTTTGAAATTGGAGGGTATAGAGCAAATCAGAATCCAAAGCAAGAAGGAGACAGAAACAATGAAAGACAGAAAACAAAACCAAGTTGGTACTAGTAGCTGCTTCTTTGAAAAGATCGGTGACTGGCCAGGCAAACAGATGGTGACATAGATGACCAATGTGTACATGTGACTCAAATGTCTAGAGAGTAACGAGGGAGTGCTACTGACAAGTCAAGAGCACACACTGTCTTTGACAATATTATACTTGCTTCGATGAGGACCATTCAGCAGAAAGCACCAGAAGGACCTCAGAGCCACTGAAGGCACAAGAACACTGACATAGCATGGTGAGGATGACTGCAGGGAAAGGCGGCAGTACTTTGGAGAAGGAACCATGGTTACCTCTTGAGGCAGAGAGGAAGCACCCAGTAAGGGAAGGTCAAAGATTTGAAAGAACTAAAGGCACCTGGTGCCGGAGGCAGCAGGAGCTCAAGGATGGCAACAGTGAACAGTCGATTCCGTACCAGGCAGACTCTGAGCCAGGTGGGAGGATGGTGAGGACAAGTGGAGGCCAGACTAGGATTGGTTTCTCAATCATCTGCCATTAAGAGTCTCAGATTGATTTAGAAATGGGAAGATCATAGAGAACTAAGATTCTAGAACAGGATATATCCCTCCAAGTAGCTTGCAGCGTGAATGACAGGACCTGGAAGAGACATAGCATGTGCAGGGCTCTGACAACTTGTATCAAGGCTAGACAGTAAATATTTCAGGCTCTGAAGGTCAAAAGACCCACTGAAGACATACTATAGACACAGCTGTGGAGAGAAAATGCTAGACCCACTGGGAGTAAACTGCTTCTGTTAGGCCATCTATGGTTTAGTAAAGACATAAAAAGCTTCCCGTGAGAAAGGGAGGGTTGTGATGGGCCAGGGTGGCAGGTAGAAATGGTGGGGAAGCCAGGAAGCTTGTCTTTTGCTCCAGTGACCCCCCCAAGGCCTGGGGTACCTTTCTTTCCTTCTGAGAGCTTGATCCTCCCAATTTAGAAAACTTGCTAGAGGCTAAACAATGCCAGGGCTGGGTGCCTAATAATTACAACACTCCCAAGTGCTCTGGGTATTGGTGCAGGCCAGGCAGCAATGCTGGGTGAAGAAAAATGAGGAAGAATTAGAATGTAGATGCCTCAGCTTGGTCTAGCTCATGAACTAACTTTTCATTGGTGCTTCGGCTTTACAAAAGCAAGTGTCAGGCTAGCATTGAAACACAGGCTCAAGGTCACTGGTGTCACTCTTGTGCCCCTAAAAGCCTCAAGGAGAAAGTGGCATGAGACTTTAGTCAAGAAAACCACACAGATTATTGTAACCAAAACACAGGTTCAATTTTCAGCCTAGTTCTCCCTTTAATACTCATTATATTCATGTATTCATTCATTCATGATTTTTATTTTGAGACAAGGCCAGCTACGTTGCCTGTGCTTGCTTTAGACTCAGAATTCTGCAGCCTTGACTGCCCAAGCAGCTGAGATTTGAGGCATGCATCACTGCAACCGGCTTTCATATTACTTTCAATGAGGTTATGAGTAACACTTCTCAGCGCCCCCTCCTTCCTTCAAGCTCACTACCCACCCGTGGTAGTAAATGTAAACACTGCTTTTCTGGAACTTTTGCCTGAGTCATCCAAGTTTCATTTCTGGAAATAGGAAGCTATCCATTTCTAGGTTGGTTAAATTATATGATTTTCCTGAAAACTCACCCTTCTTTTGACCTCAGAGCTGAGAATTGGAAGTGGATGAGACACGGGACTTGTCAGTCAGCACATATCAAAACAAGAGATGAGGAGGGACTAAGGAGGATTGCCATGACAAAGTCTATGACTGGCAGAACCTACCCTGGTAAATCCTGCTATCTTCCTCAGTGACGTAGGCATTTGCTCCCCAGATCACCATCTTGTGGATGTACGATGGGTACTTTGCAGCAGCAATGAGTGCAGTTATACCCCCGTCACTCCAGCCCAGGAGGGAGACCTGCTTGAACTGCAGCACCTGGGGGCAGCACAGCAGAAGGCATAACATAGTTACTCTTCACTTATGGGCAACACATCAGAACACTTGGCAAAGTTGCAGACCTGTGGCCAGCACAGCAGGACACATGGCACAGTTCCCACTCCACTCTCTTTAAAGAACCTGGTTGGCAGTGATCAGAATTCTACAAGTCTGCCACTTGGAGACCTGGTGTCAATTATTAGCTTTGCTACAATGTAATTGTCACAAAAACTCGAATATACAGTATTATTTTGACCTATGCAGAAAGCATATCTCCGGGATGGATAAAATGCCTAAGTACAGGGTCAGCAGAAATCTGCTGTATTTGGGTAGGGCAAGCGCCATGTGTGCATACATACGTCCGAGCAAGGCTCAGAGGGCAATTCTGCAGATTGGAGGGGTGTTTAAGATGAAATGCAACAGGGTATCTGGTGAAGCCACAGCTGCAACTGTGGGAAGAGCTGCCTAGAGACAAGAGGGAGCATGGGGTCACCACAAAGCCGCATCCAGCTTTGGGTGAACCAACCAGGACCCTGAAAAATGTGCTCAGTAGAGAAAGCTGACAAAGCATATGGGAGAGGTTTCTAGAAGTAAAACGGAGTGTCTGAAAAGGTTAAAGGTAAGGAGCTGACAAATGTTAGTCAGGATAACTGCTTGCGGGATCACACGTATGTGTATGTACTCCGGATAATCATTTGACATTGATATGCAGAATGAGGATACGTGTTCTCTGCAACCTAGCACACTGCTTCCCGGGTTCACTGACCAGGAGACAGACCCAGGATATATACAACAGTGCTCATAATCACAAAAGTAACAAGTGTCCATGAGCAACTTATAACAAAAAGTAGCTTAAAATTAAGTTACTCATTCACCAATAGATGAGGCATGGAATAAGATAGTGCATACATCCAGTGAAATGCAGCAGCTCTCTCGTACCTGTTGGGGTTACATTCCGAGACCCTACATCACCTTGTAACATAGACGGGATCAAGAGCTACACATTCAGAGCAAAATGGATATGCTGGACAAGCGATGTCTTAGCGTTTGGGTAGGATGGAGGCAGGATGGGTGGGCAGCACCACACTGTACCACTCAGAATGACAGGGGATTTAAAACCCATGACAGAGTGCTACAGGTGATGTTAATGAAACTGCATTTCAGAAAGGCAGAAGGAAACATTTTGCAAGTTTTTCTTATGAGGAAATGATAAATATTGGGGACTGGGGGAGATAGTTCTGCTGGCAAAGTGCAGTACAAGCATGGGAATCCACATTCTCTCCCAGGACCCAAAAAAGCCACCCATAATGGTGCATGCTACAATCCTAACCCTGAAGTAGAGACAGGAGGATCCCTGGGGCTTGTTGGCCATCCATCCTAACCTACTTGGTGACCTTCAGGCCAATGAGTGACCTTGTTTCAGAAAACGAAGTGAGAAGCAACTGAGCAGCAATAGTTGCTGTGACAGTTATGTTTAACCTGATTTGAACATTACGAAGCATAGACGTGTACTGGAACCTTACGTAATCCCCTGGCACATACAATTTTAATGTCTTAATGTATAAGCTAAAAATAAACTTAATTTAAATTATGAAACATTACAAATTATGAATTGGTTATTTCTGAAATTTTTCACTTAATATTTCCAGACCTCAATTGATCATGGGTAACTGAAACCAAAGAGAATGAGACCATGGAGAAGGGACAATAGCAATAAGTGTACATTCATCGGGGAGGAAGCCGAATTTCCTTGACATGTCTTCAAAGCAGCAAAGTGGAAGAATGTAAGGTATGGTATGATGCCATCAGTGTCACACACCTGTAATGCCAGAATTCAGGAGGTAGAGGCTACCCTGCTACACAGTGAGTTTGAGGCCAGCCAGGGCTACACAGCAAGATCTTACCTCAAAAAATCAAAATAACCAAATAAAATACTGCTTAAATGCACTGACTCCTCACCTAGACCTAAAAAGTAATTAAAAATTGGACTTCTCCATCTTCATTTTTTATCTTCTTTACTTTGGGTTGGATTCCTGCTCAACTATGCATGTAGGCATGTTAAGCCTCCAAGGAGCATCTGTCAAAAGGCTGATGGTACACAACCAACAGCCAGTCTTAGCTCCTCTGCTGGCTAGTTTTCTGTCAACTTGACACAAGCTAGAGTCATCAGAGAGAAGGGAGCTTCAATTGAGAAAACACCTCCATAAGTTCCAGCTGTAGGCAAGCCTGTAGAGCATTTTCTTAATTAGTGATTGATGGGGGAGGGCCCAGCCCATTGTGGGTGGTGCCACCCCTGGGCATATGGTCCTGGGTTCTGTAAGAAGTCAGGCTGAGGGGGCTGAAGAGATGGCTCAGCAGTTAAGCGCACTGGCTACTCTTCTAGAGGTCCCGAGTTCAATTCCCAGCAACCACACGATGACTCATAATCATCTATAGTTGGATCCGATACCCTTTTCAGGCATGAAGGTACACATGCAGAGAGAGCATTCATATACATAAGATAAATAAATAAATCTTCAGAAAAAAGAGCAGGCTAAGCAAGCTATGGTGAGCAAACCGGTAAGCAGCACCCCTCATGGCCTCTATATCGGCTCCTGCCTCCAGGTTCCTGTCCTGCTTGAGTTCCTGCCCTGACTTCCTTTGATGATGAACAGTGCTATGGAAGCATAAGCTGAATAAACCCTTTCCTTTCCGTGTTGCTTTGGTCATGGTGTTTCATCATAGCTATAGTAACTCTAACTAAGACAACCCCCTTCAAGGCCGAAGGAATAAACAAAAGAGCAGTGGTGACATTGTACAGTTGCCTTTTATAGTGAGCTGTTCCAGACCCATGCACATTGTTCTAAGCCTGAAGTTAGCTTGGATCCCAGGAACAACAGAGCCTTACAGACAGATCACCCCATGAGATGATACACTCCCTCCACCCCCCACCCCACCCCAAGGCCCCAAGCATGGGTGGTCATGACTTCTCCAGGACACCTTGCAGAACCAGAACTAACACCAGACCACACCTTGACCAAGACTGCTTAGTTATGTAGACTTCTTGCCTCCTCTCCAGTTCTGGCTCTACTTAAACCTAACACTCATGTCAGTACTCGGAAGATGGGCTGAAGGGCTTCCTTTCCACCTTCTCCAAATGGCAGTTTTGTTCAAAATGCATTCCTGCCTCTTCATCACCACCTCTTGCTGCTTTCTTTGGGGTGAGTGGCTACACCTGACACATTGGAAGCCATGGAATTGAGCTTCAGGCTTAGGACTCCAGTTACATAAATAGAAAAGTGTGTATTTTGTGGTGTGTGGTATTGTGGGCCTGCAATTCCAGCAGCCAGAGGCTGAAGCAGAATGATTGAGATATCATGGCCTGCTTAGACTATACAGTGAAAACCTGTCTCAGAATAAAGTAACAAAAGCACAACTAAAACTCTGCACTGATATATGTCACGGGACTGGTCCTAAAGGCAGAGCCTTGGTGTCTTGGCAGTAGCCTCGTTAGATAGCTGCGCTCTGTTTCTACTCGGTAAGACTTACATTAGGTATTACTTTTGTAGAAAGAAAGAACTCCAGGAATTGGAATAAGTGAAGGTGGTTCCAGTCATCTCCCCCCACTTAAGCATTTCTCTGGGTCTCACCTTCATCAAGTCGACAGCATCCTTTGCATCCCTTTCAAAAAAGTCCTGTGGGAAGTCTCGATCTGGAGGTCTGGACTGTCCATATCCTCGAGGGTCCCAGGCCACCACTGTGAAGCGTTTCTTATTAAGGCTCTGTAGCTGTGGTGCAAAATCGGTGCTTCCGCTTCCTAAAAACAGCCACCGGTTACATTCTGAATGTTCTCAGCACACCGGAGAGAAACGGAAGCAGCAACATCCTAAAATACAGTTCTTGGTTGTCTTCAAGTTAGCCAGGCAAAGTTGTCTTTCAAGGGCCAACTCCCCCAGAGGCGGATTTCCAGTCCTGATGGAGTTAGGAACTGCCTCAGGTCTCCCCCTAGTGGTGATTTTGAGGAAGCGAGGCTCAGGACCAGTATTTTTGTGACACTTATGACAGCCTTTCAGTTTGTTTCCCACTCATCCATTAAAAGGATGAACTAAACTGTATTGAAATGAGCTTTTCATATTTCATAGTTTCCTCGCTCTCGCTCTCTCTCTCTCTCTCTCTCTCTCTCTCTCTCTCTCTCTCTCAAGGAAAAATGACTTAGAAATGATGGAGACCCCAGTGGCATCCTGATAGAAGTCTCATATTCCAGATGTTTTAAGAAATAAACTCTTAAGAGTTTATTTTTTAGCTACAACCAATAAGCCACTCGAGGTGTGGCGTGCTCACATCCACTATGTGTGTGGAAGATCACTTGGTAAGAGTTTCATCCAGCCAGTGGCAAGTACTGTACAAATTTTTTGTTTATTTTTTTATGTCTAAGGACCTAGTACTCAGGCCTCCAATACACAGGAAACACACACAGCTGGGCTCAAAAGCAGACCAGTGGATTTCCAGCCCTTGTCTACTGCTCTCTCATAGGGGCTTCTTGTATGTCCCTGATATAGAAGGAGCAACTCTGAAGGAGGGTCGGGAATTAGGGCAGGATTAGAGGGGGACAGAGTAAAATAATTATCAGTACATGATAATCTGAGTGGCCCATGGTTACTGGGGAACAAAGTAGAAGAGAGACTCTCACTGCTCCATTTAAAGCTTTGGAATCATGCTAATGTTTTACAGAAATGAAAAAATTATACTGGGGTGGGTGGTTTGTATAGTTAATGACTGCAATGTTAAAATAATAATAATAACAATAATAACATAATGTGGTAAATTGTTACTGATGATTTAACTGGACATCAGCTGTTGGAGTAAATATCTCCTCGATTACAGAAGCTTAAGAAAACGGCACTAAGTGTCCCAAGTCTCTCAGTTGCTATAATGAGACTGTATCAGTAAAGGCCTGGCAAGGATAGAAAGTAGATGAAAATTTTAGCATGTGACCCTCAGGAGAAAGAGGCAATAAGTATGTACTTAGATTACACAAATACCTAAAAAAAAACAAAGCAGCAACCCTACATGCCTTAAAAGTAGATTCACAATGTCTCGAGAGATCACTACAAACGCCCTCTCGAACTTTCTATACCTGGACTACTGTTCTATGAAGTTAGTCTGAGATTCACTGAGCTCCAATATGCTCCACAAACTACAGAAAATGATGTGTTAATCTGATTTTGGTTTGAAAAAGACTTTAAACTTGTTGGGGATGGTAGCACAAACCGGTCTTCTCAGTATTTAGGAAGCTGGGGCAAGCTTAAGCTATAAAGTGATACCCTGTTAGGAAGACAGAAGAAAGAAAATCTTTTAAAACTCCCCCCTTCCTCTAACTTTTATTAAACAAGTCAAACACAACTGATCCACAACTGATTCCCCGGCCCCCTGCCCTAGGTTTAGCACTTCAACTCTCACATTCCAGAAAACCCCTGGATATGAGGCAAACAAATGGGGATAGCTGGTCACCAACTTACTATCTTCATCTTTGGACCCCTGTTTCCTTGGCCCCTGAAACCTTCCCAAATAGTAGGAAACCATTTTCACGGTATGTTTAAATGTGGGAAGAATGGGTAAAAGAATAAAAAATTAATGCAGTAGAAAGTTGTTTACTTTTTCAAATCACTCAACTTTGAGTGAGGCAAGCATTCCTTAAAAGTTTTTAGCAGGCACTAACGTAAATAATTGATGCTGGGCTCTATCGTCATGATTCATCACCGAGAATCTACAACCTGCAGAAGAATTCCATTAAAATGGGCACATACCCAACATCCCAGGAAGCAGAAGGACTGCGTGCTCCCCTTCTCCCGTTCGCTGGTAATGCAGGTGAACACCATTAACAGCCACCTTGGCAGAAGTTACTGCAGTGCTGGAAGAGAAAGAAGTCCCCAATGGAAGTGTCAAACGGACATATCTAATATGACAAAGTATCAATTGTTGTTCATGAGTTAGCTTTGGGACCCTCTCAGGGATGCTGCACTGCTTTGATCTGTGCCTCAGTTTTTCATCAAGGTTGTATCCTCATAACAGACTGAAAATCTGAACAGTGTCTTCCTGTTTTGACCAACTATAGCACTCAGGGGCTAGCCTTCTGCCCTGGCTAGATTTTTGTTTGTTTGTTTATTTATTTATTTATTTATTTATTTATTTATTTATCAACTTGACACAATCCAGGGTCATCTTAGAAGAAGGAACTTCGATTGAGAAAGTGCCTCCATTAGATTGGCCTAGAGGCAAGCCTATGGGACATTTTAAATATTCATGACTGATGTGGAAGGGCCCAGCCCAGTGTGGGTGGTGCCCCTCTTGGGCGGGTGGTCCTGGGTAGTATGTACTAGAAAGCAGGTTGAGCAAGCTGGTAAGCAGCATTCATCCATGGCCTCTGCTTCAGTTCTTGGCCTTACCGTCTTCCTGCCCACTTCCTTGATAGAGGGCAGTGACAAGCAGGATGTGGAGGGCATGCCAGGACAGATGCTAAGAGGACTTGCTCTTCTTGTGGATTGGCAGAAAATTCTTTTTTCTTCTACATACACCACCCCCATCTCTGTCCTCGGTCAAAATGTGGTGCTTTTGAAAAAATAAGGGCTTTGTTTCTTGTGTTGGTTTTATCTGATTCACTAATTTCAAGTAATAAAGAGTGCAAGCTACACATGGTGGCACACTTGAAATCCCAGCTCTTGGGAGGTCGAGGGAGGAGGACTGCCACAAATTCAAAGTCAGCCTGGGGTATATAGGGAAACCCTGTCTTAAACAACAGCAAGGAAATTAATAAAGAACATGGGTGTGGGGTTGGAGAGATGGCTCAGAGGTTAAGAGCACCGACTGCTCTTCCAGAGGTCCTGAGTTCAATTCCCAGCACCCACAGGCAGCTAACAACTGTCTGTAACTCCAAGATCTGACAACCCTCACACAGACAAACATGCAGGTAAAACACCAATGCAAAGAAAATACAAATAAATAATTAAAAAAAGAATGTGTGTGTGTTGAATATTGATACATCTACATTAGCATATAATTCCTGGAAATTGTATGACAAAATTGGGAAATAAGAAAGCTTAAAATAAGCTCATCTACACAAACATCAGAGGAGCAATAATGAAGCCATTAACTAACAGCCAACAACATCAGTTTATTTTGTTAACATCCTATTCCTCCAAAGAATAGAGTTTTATTGTTAGGATGACTTTAAGCATCTTAGAATCAAGACAGATGCAAATTAACGCATTCTACTAACAGACTGGCTTCTTTCAGCAGGTTCACATGCTCCCAGCCCACACAGGCATGCAGACATGCGCACACACTCTTCTAACAAAGACTAGCTTCTTTCAGCACATATTCACATGCTCTCAGCCCAGCAGGAGAGAAAACAAAGACACAGGATTAGCTCGGGGAGGGCAGGGCTATGCCGGAGGCACCTGGGCCAGATCAAATTTCCTTCTGGTATTTCTTGTTTTATTAAATGGAGCCAGCCCCTGAGCAGCTGACTAGTGTTACTGGGCTCATGTTAGCAGTAAAGCACATGAGCACCGGCTCGCCCTTTACTGCTCTCTGTGCTCCAGAGCTCTTTTAGGGGCTCCCTTCCCTGCAGTACCAAGAACGTGCTGGTCAAAGCCATTTTGCCCTATGCGGTATTTTGTACAATGTTTCCATTTTCCTCGATGCACTGAGCCAGTGGCTTTAGGATGTCCTGTTGCTGCCAGAGCTCTAGTCATTCATCAGTCTCTCCATGGAGCACTGGTTCACAAGAGTATCTTTCTTTCAGCCTCTTCAGTAACAGCAACAACAACAACAAACCTTACTTTTCCCTGCATCTGCCTGGGTCTACATTTTGGTTTCTCATTCCAGATTTCTTTCTAAATTATCACCGCCTAACAGGAGTATAGGGACATCAGGTGGCTACAGTTCATCTTACTAGAAACTCCGTGGCAGGGAAGGATTTGCAAAGGCTTGCAAGTGGCTTTGGTGGAGACAACAAGAAATGGCATGTCAGGTTGGGTAGAGGTATCTGAGAGGACAGAAAAGTGTCTTTTGTGAAGAAATGCCAAAGAAGGGTAAAACTCTAAATAAGGACATTACAGGACAGCATTGCTGGGTGACCATATGGCATGCTCAGAAGCCTGTGTTCAGCCGGGCAGAGTGAGGGGCTAGAGGGACAATGGTAGGGACTGGATGGTGCGAGGTCCTGCAGTAAATGGAGATGGTCCCTGCTGGGGCATCGCAGGCATCCAGTGTGCAGCCACACCAGATGGACACGCATCACACTGGCCCATCCTGCCAAGCACCTGATTCCACACTCCAAAGCTAGGCAGGAGACAGAAATGTTTACAAAAATTATTAAATATTAATAAATTATTAATTTCAAACTTAAGGAGAGGTTTATGCTTAATCATTGAGTGACTGAGAGCTAGCTTATTTCCATAGGAATACATGATACATCATTTGGGGTCATTTCAAACCCAAAGCATTGGCTACCGCTTGTTGGGAGGCCTCTATGACGGTGGCCAGGCCTTGTACAAACAGCTAAGTCCATGTGGAGAGGATCAGGCCTGCAGCTCAGGCCTTCGATGGACCTAATACTTGCTTACTTCCGAAACCACATTCAGTATTGGATTTCTCAAACTCTCAGGTAGTAACGAAGACAGAAACCCTCAGAAAACTTAAAGAACAATGTACCCCAGCTCAGTGCTTACTGTGTGGCTGTGTAGAGCCTTTCAGGTGAAGGTGGAGGTGGTGGAGAACCCAGGTTGTAGGTGCAGCTCAGCAAGTTCAGCCTACCAGCACCAGCACCTCTTCTCCTGTTGTTTCAGCTCAAACTTTGAATTCAAGTCACTGGCCAGACTTCTAAACCTGTGAGCCCAGGCTGCACTACACCACAATCCAAGCGGGAAGTAGGCAACCGTACTAAATTCAACAGGCCAGCAAGATTGAGTTAATTTCCTCGAGAACAAAAGGCTTAAGAGTCCCTCAAATTGTACCTTCCCATCTCCGTGTGACCTTAGCTCCCACCTGTGAATTTTCTACATGGTACCAAGAAGCCGGTCTACTCCCCTCTCAAAACAGGAAGAGGTGATTGTATGGGGGAGGCTGGAGCATAACGGGTTGGGGAAAATAGGTAAACCAAATCTAGTATTTACTAACATGTATCTGCACCCTCTCAGTGCTTTCTCCGCCTTTCGTTTCTGAGTTGCATGATGCATTTACCCTAACATTAGCACAGAGAGGCTGGAAGTTGGTGGGAAAGCTAATTTGCTGATCATAGGATTAGCTAATCCAGTTCCGGACAAGCATCTGAGCATCTGACCCGGAATCTTGGCTTCAGCACCTTGCTTAGAGATGAAAGTGGAGATTGCTTAATAAGATACAGGCTTACCTTGAAAGTCCTTGCTGTTTATACCCTGCTTTATATCAGATAACAGTGAACCACAGCATCAGCTACTGCCTGGGCTCCATTATATGGAGCTTGATGACTTCTTTTATATACTATGCTATTATTTATATGCTCACTATTTAGATCATTAATTGTACTTGCTAATTGTTTATATTTACTCTGTTCCAGGCCTTTCACAGTCATTGTTTCAAATGCAAACCAGGAGAGGTTGAGTAACTTGCCTATAGTCACACACCTAGGAAGAGTTGATAATACAGCTACTTACACTATTTGAACTCAAAAGGCCATGATTTCTCTTTAACCTCATGGCAGAACTCAATCCCAAAAAGGGCAAAGTGCTGGGGTGACATTCAGTCTGAGTGCCAACTAGGGGGTGGAGGCAGGCATGAGAGGAGGGATTGGACCAGATTCTCTGGCGGGGCCTCCCAGAAAATATTGTTTTCAGTCAGACTGTCAGATTCTGTAAATTATTAATGTCATAACTGACATACAACTCTCCACAGAGAATACTTTTTGACAGTTCACAGAGATCATGAAGTAAGAGAAGGGTCAAAGTTCCTAGCTGATGATTGACAAGCAACTCTGTGCCATACAACACAGCTAGTTTCGGGTCGGACACTGGGTGTGAAGAGGTTTGCACAGGACTGCTTTGAGTTGCAGGCATGGGGCTGCAGTCTGGCTTTGAGATTAGCCAGCCTGTGCTATTTTTCAGATTACAGGCCGTGTAAGTATGGAATGGTATTTCTAAAATGGTAGGACAAGACCCAGGAAAACATTCACAGAGATCTTTCAGGAAGATTGGTCTACAGTGTGGCTAAGTGAATAGGACTCTCAACATCCATTAAGTCACCAATGAGTATGACATTAATACAACCCCATAGCCTCATCGCAATCCCTTTCTGCAACCAGGAAACTGGATAAAATGCCTGTTCACTGGCAATTTACATAACTCTAGTCACCGATGTGTTTTTTCCACCTGTATATTTAAAAAAAAAGTGCTAACGTCACATAATCCTAAAATGAGAGAAACCTAACAGCGACACAATCATGCTGTGGATGTTTAAAAAGCAGGTTCGATTTTCCCTTCTTCCTGCTTCTAGATTATGTGCTCAAACAATCGCTTTCCACATTGGATCTAGTGAAGTTCTAAATGTCAGTCACTAGCACCAATGGCTCGCTGACAGTAAATCGCACATGCGCAGTGGGCATGTCTGCATGTGTATGAGGTGGGATATGCACAGCTTCAGGCTGCTCTATCTACATTTTCTGCTCAAATTCTCTTGAGACTGAGCACTCATTTTCATTACAGCCTCTGGCAGGGAGCCCTGGGAGCCTTTGAATTTACACAGGTTCCCAAGCAGCTTCGCCAGCACACCGAAGCAGGCTAGGCAGATTTCTGAGGAGGCAGGAGTAGTTACTGTCCCTAGCAACTGGCTAACAGACATCCGGTTTGGGATCCGTGACTACCGGCAAAAGTCCCTCCCGGTCCCCTCCAGCTGCACTGAGGAGGCTGGACCACACCCTGGAACCGAACCCCAGCCACCTAAGTGCTCACGCACTAGCTCTGTGGGATCTGGACCTGGGTCTGAGGAAAGAAGGGCCATCGGCGACCGGCGCGGGTCCCTCCTCCGCCAGCGGCCCGGGCCCCAAGCTGCCCGGAGCACGCTATTACCCGAAGGCGGCTGCAGGCTTCGTCTGAGGCGCGGGGATCCTGGACCTCAGGGGAGAGAGGAGCAGCCGCAGTCGCAGGGCCGCAGGGTGGGCCGCTGCAGGCGCCATAGTTCCAGGTCGCACCTCCTCAGGGAACGCGCGTGCGCCCAGCAGGATGCCACCTCCAAGTGCCAAACTCGAAGCCACGCCCTGGCAGGCCACGCCCCTTACCAGGCCTGCCCAGAAACGAAGCTTGTCCTCTCTTACACCTAGCTTTCCCAGGATGGGATAGACCGGTTGACACTGCTTCCTTGCTTCCAGCTGCTATGGGTCCAAAGCTATGCGGAGATAGGGTCACCTGCTGGGCATCTAGGCAGAGCCTCTGAGGGACAAATGCACCGCAGACCAATACTGTTTCTTGCTTTTGTTGAGAAGGGGTCTCATGTAGCTCAAGCTGGTCTAGAGCTGATGTTGACCTTGAGCTCCTGATCCTCTGGCCTCATGCTGGGATTACTGGCCTGCATCACCATACCTGGCTACAGTACACTTCCCATCTAACCCCATCCTTTGCTGCTAAGCAAAATAGTAACAGCAAGCTTTTAGGTTACCCGTGTCAACATTTATTATGCAAGTCTTCAAGAACTCATCGTTTATGCATTGTACTGTGTTAGCTTTCTGCACCACTGTGACAAAAATCTGAGAAGAATTTAAAATGAGGAAAGGTTCATGGTTTCAGAGCTTTCAGTTCCACGTCATCTGGACCCATTGCTTTGGACCTGAACAGCACACTGTGGTAATAGAGGCACTTTGGCAGAGACGGGGGTGGGGGTGGGAGATGCGAGTAATTCAAAAGAAGAAATTGTTCAAAGGCATGCTTGCAGTTACCCGTTTCTTATAGTTAGGCCCCACCTCCTACCATCTTCCAATAAAGCCATCAAATTATGAATCCATCAATGAATTACTTCATTGATCATATCAGAGCCCTCGTGATCCCATCACCCACCAAGGACTGGTTCCACTAGTTGCGGGGGTCAAGCTTTCAACACCACATTCAAATCAAATCAAATCAAATCAAATCAAAACTACAGTCATTTCTGTGCCAGGCACCCTAAGAATGCTTCACTTTTTTTTTTTTAAATCCACATATATTCTCTCTCCATCTCCACCTGTTACCTCCAAATTATAGAGAAGCTTATAGCAAGGGAAGTTAGGAAGTCTTGGAGCGCATGGCTGTGGAGCGGGCTTCAGGCCTGCTTAGGGTCAGAATGCTGTATTAAGACACCACACCTCTCACTGCAGCACTAGCTCTTCATTCTTTATAACCATCTTTGATAGTGAGACCAAAAACATCATTTTTTATTCCTTCACATCAGTTCCTTGCAAGAATCTTACAGAGTGTGTTTTTTTTTTTTAAAGATTTTATTTATTTATTATATAGTCCTGTGCCGGCATGCCAGAAGAGGGCACCAGATCTCATAACGGATGGTAGTGAGCCACCATGTGGTTGCTGGGAATTGAACTCAGGACCTCTGGAAGAGCAGTCAGTGCTCTTAACCGCTGAGCCATCTCTCCAGCCCTTACAGCATGTTTTTTAACCACACTTTCTAAAACGTCATGCTCATATTCAATGAAAATTCCAATAATGTGTCAACTCTTGTCCACTCATTTGATGCTCCTTTAACTGTGCCAGTACTTCCTTATCTATTCTGTTATTGTCCTGGCACTTGGGAGGCTGAGGCAGGAGGATTGAGCATTCAAGCAAGGCTAGCCTGGAACCTTCCTGGCTCCAATTCCTTTCCAATGTACATACTCTATGCAGTTAAGGCATGGACCCAGCATGTGTTGACGCAACAACTGAGGCATATAAAGTTACAGCAGGGTCCCTCCAAAGAACATGTAGCCATGTCTAGAGGCATTTTTTGTCACATCTGGTGGGTAGAGCAGACTGTACCATTGGGATCCTGTAGACAGAGGACAGGCATGTTTCTCAATATTCTAGGCCAACAGTGGAGGAGGAAGTGCCAACTAGTGCCAAAATGTCACAAGACCAAAGCTGCTTTACAGTTCTATGTATCCTCTGAGGCTGCAGGAGATTCAGAATCAGAACTTACTGTTGTTAACCAGACACCAGAATCTTTTCCGATAGCCAGACTGACTGTCACTGTATAACCTCTGACCAGCAAGTGCCAGCAGTTGGTTCAGGCAGCTTCAGCCTTTCACTCATACCCGGCTTGCACATGGGCTTGCTAAAGGCACAATGACTGAACTCTGAAGCTGTCCTTTTTTGATTCATGTCACACAGAAGAAACCTATTTATCCACAGTACATTTTTCTGGGTAAACCGAGGAAATAGATCTACAGTGAACAGTGCTGAGGCTTTTGTCATATCCAAGGAGGAAGAGGTGACATTTTCTGATTTTCTACACACCAGTTCCCTCTGTGAGGTGCACAGGCTGGGGAATGTCATGAAGCACCAGAATGTAGGAGAAAATTTAAAAACTTACAGTAGTTTTTATAGTAGCTGCACTCAGCAGCAGTTCTCAGTGGTGAGTGCTGGAATTTGATGACCTTCCTATGCCCTGTAGTTTTTCCTCCTGCTTAGCACTCCTTAACATTTCCTCATTAACTTATAATTTGACAGACTAGAATTGCACATGATTCTTAAAGTTTAAGGTGACAGCATAGCATTGGATGCTAAAGTTAACATCCTATAATTTTAGGAAGAACTGTGGCTGTCATATAAGGCACCTCTCTGAGCAGCACTTTACTGCACTCAGAGGAAGCCAATAGATTTTACATTCTTGGAATGTTTTCTTTTCTCCCTCACCCAAATGAAACCACAGGAAATTGAGTAAATAGCATAATTGAAGACTATGGTACAAGCGGAACAAAGCCCATCTTTCTCATCCAACACCTCTTCTCTCCTTTTCAAAACCCAATAGGCTGTTCTTTTCAGTGTCCCCCACCCGCCCTTGTCCTGGGTCATTCGGCAATCTGCATGCTTGTACTTTCTGAAGAACCACTGTGGGCTGCAGACTTCTCTTTCCATTCTCCAGTTCCAAAATGCATGCCACTGCAGATGCGGGGCTTGAACTGAGATCGAGTTCTGAAGGCCAGGGAGCAAACAGGGCTTGTGCACCTAGTGTACAGTCTAGTTCCCACTGCCAGAGCCCGCTCAAGCTTTGCTCTGGCTGGCCTGTATCAAGTGGTTCAGCAGGTCTATCCTGTAACACTGGTCAAGTGCCCGGGCCAACTTTCCCACTGTGGCCCCCTTGGTGCCTTCCCGCATCAGCCACTTCTGGAGCATCTGGTAAACCTTTTCTTTCAACCCATCTCGTTCATAGTCGTGGTCAATTTCATCAATCTGAGACTCAGTGAAGCCCAGCTTTCGGGCACAGTTTTTCCACTGCTTTCCCAGGTTTTCCCTGACAGGGTTCAGGTGTTTATCAGTCAGACTACTGGTGTTATCTGTCAAAAGAAAAGAGAAGAAGCCTCAGCCTATAGTCCATATGAACATTCTAGTGTCTGCAATACTGAAATGGCCCAGGAAAGAGATGCAAAAAAGATAACTTTTTATTTCACTTGAGGGAATCCTGCTCTGTAGCCCCCTTGTCTCCTGAGAACTGGGATTATAGGTGTGTACCACCATGCCTGAACTGTTATTGACTTGTTAGGCAATACTTGGCCCAACTGCAGTCATTAAGGAGTCTTTGTACAACTTAAAATAGGGTGTCCTTCCTTCTTGGCAGATGTGCACCTTTCTGAGCCATAACTGATGGTTTCATGAACAAATCCCCAACATGGCTGTTCTATTCAACCTCTGACTGCAGTCCTGTTCTAGTTAGACTAACTGGATGGAATGGATGGTGGATTATTGTTTCTTTGGGACATTTCTTTTGGGACTTTCTTCTTAATAAAAACACAGAGATCAAGTGCAACCCTCATCTAATTGCAATGTCTTCCCTTATCTCTCAACAGATGAGACACATACACTTTTCAAGGGTTTCTCTCCCATCATTAAGTTGTTGACAATTCATTTTATTATATACATGGCCTTTCTCTTGTCACTAGCTCCATCATCTTAGACTTTCATAAAAGTAAGTAAAGGGACTGGGTGGTGGCTGTGCATGCCTTTAATCCCAGCACTTGGGAGGTAGAAGCAAGAGAATCTCTGTGAGTTCGAGACTAGCTTGGTCTACAAGAGCTAGTTCCAGGACAACCTCCAAAGCCACAGAGAAACCCTGTCTCAAAAAAGCAAAGCAAAACAAAACAAACAAACAAACAAACAAAAACTTAGTAAAGGGAACACATGGCCCAGTGTGGTGAGGCACACATTTAATCCCAGCACCTAGGAGGCAGAGACAGATGAATCTCAGTGAGTTCAAGGCCAGCCTGGTCTACACAGTGAGCTCCAAGACATCCAGGGCTATGTGTGTGTATGTGTGTACACATGACACACATACACACACACACACACACACACACACACACACACACACACACACATATACATACATACATAGAGAGAGAGAGAGGGAAAGAGAAGAGATAGAGACTCTGTCTCAAGAAAGAAAAACAATGGGCGTTGTGCTACATGCCTTTAATCTCAGCACTCAAGAGGCAGAGGCAGGAAGATCTCTGTGAGTTCAAGGCCAACCTGAACTACAAAGTTCTAGGACAGCTAGGGCTATTACACAGAGGAACCCTGTCCCCAAAAACCAAAACAGAAAAGAGAAAGAAAAGGGAAAAGTCATCATAACAGTCTTTGATCCTCATCCCACTCAGAAGGCTGAATCTAAGGAAAAAACAAACTCCTCCTCAGCTCTCATTAGCACCACACAGCAGAATCTATCAACTCTGACAGCAGACAAAGAGCTTCCCACAACTATGAATTGCCAATCTCTGTAGGAGAAGAGCCCTGGGGGTCAGGAGAGTCACAAAGGTCCCTTGAGTTCCTCAAAAGCTAAAAAAAACCCATCTCCCAGGCATCTAAAGGTCACTCTTCCAATGGGGTAGTTCAGCAACTGGCAAAGTATGCAGCCTGCTGAACCAAGTCTGGCTCCTGCTTTTTTGTAAATAGTTTTGGGGATCATATCTACTTTTATCGATGTGCAGACTATCTGTGGCTGCTTCTGCGCTCCAATGATGGAGAGGCCTCAGGGCAAACAGAGCCTTACCTATTACATGCCCCTTCATAGAAACAAACCAAAACTGCCAACCTCCAAAGTTAATCAGAAAGCTGAATACTGGTTCCTTTTTGAGACAGGGTCTTGCTGACCTGGGACTCACCATCTTCCTACTTCAACCACCCTAGATGGGGTTACAGGCATGCATCACTGCCTCATGGCAGAAAGCTGTGGACACCTATGAGAGCTCTTGTTTTTATTACAAAGTGCTATGGAGGGCTTGGTCTTCTGTGTTTTACAGGATTCCTTTGCTGCAGAGCAGAGAGAGCTATTTCTCCAAGTCTGATGGGATCATGAATGATGGTGACAAGTTTAATATTCACAGTTAGTGTCCTACACTTCAACACACAATGGCTAGTATAAACTTTATATCACCACCACCAATTAGATACTATGATTATTCCTGTGTTAAAAAAAATAGACAACAGCTGGGAGTTGGTGGCCCACGCCTTTAATCCCAGCACTCGGGAGGCAGAGGCAGATGGATCTCTGTGAGTTCAAGGCCAGCCTAGTCTACAGAGCGAGTGCCAGGATAGGCTCCAAAGCTACACAGAGAAACCCTGACTCGAAAAACCAAATAATAATAATAATAATAATAATAATAATAATAATAATAATAGACAACAAAGGATTAAAAATTACTGATTAGGGGCTGGAGTAGATGGCTCAGCAGATAAGAGCACTTGGGTGTTCTTGCTTGGGTCAGTTTCTAGCATCTGAACAGCTCACATCTATCCCTAACTCCTGTTCCAAAGGATCTAATGCCCTCTTCTGACATCCGTGGGCACCAGGTATGAATGCAATGAAGCAGACAAAACACTCACACAAATAATATTACTGAGGAAACATGGGATAACTTTCAGAGAGAATCTTGAAGGAAAATTAAGATTCTATTATGTTCTTCTCAACAAGTAAAAATGGTCAGGAAGTGTCTAGGTCATAATACATTGTACCCTTTTTTTAAAACTCTCTTCAGTGCTGACGAATGAATACAAAGTTTCATGCATGCTAGTCAAGCAATCTACCACAGCTACACCTCAGCCCATCACCAGTCCTTAATAAGCATTTTACCAAAGATGGCTTGGTACTTGGGAGCTGACTCTTCTTTGCACATGTTGTCTGGTACTTGTGAACTCAGTCCAAGATCCATATAATTGTAGTTTCCAATCTGAACACCAGAACTATTATATATAGTACATTTTATGGACTCATCTGAATAGAGAAAAAATATAGGTAAGTGCATGAGATTGAACGCAAGAGAAAAATATATGGCATGTAGAGGTGCAGGGCTTTATTATAGGTGTTCAATTGCTTATCCTATGACACCCTTAACAGTCATTTCTTTATAATGTGGCTATTTGACTTCACAATCATTATGCTGTCTACCATTAAAACAAAAAGATACCAGTATTGGCAAGAATGTGGAAAATTGAAGCACCCACCTATACATTGCTGGGAATGAAAATGGTATAACTAAAGTGGACAAAACTATAGAGTTTTCTCAAAAATTAAAGATAGAATTACCATATGATTCAGTAATTTCATTTCTAGGTATGTATATACACATACACCCAGACACATTCTCTCTCTCCCCCACACATCCATCGGAGAGACACAGAGACAGATAGACTGACTGAGATTTCTACAAAATAATAGTAAACCAAGTGCTACTTTATTCTCCTCTCCTACTTACTGGTAGACACACCCTCCTTATATGGCAGTTAAGAGTTAGAAAGCTCACATTTGTTAGGTCTATCTCATCAGAGAAGTAAGCAGAAGAATCACCTCTGTGAGATCCTCCTCAGGATATAGGAATTCCATGACTGATTGTGAACTGAGATTCCTCTTACTACTGGCAAAAACTCAGCATCAATAAGAGGATCTAGTCTTGGCAAGACTGGGGCTTAAAGACAGTGAGGACTCTTGCAGCCAACTACTAAGATTAGGCTACTCATATGGAGACAGGACCAGAGAATGAATGACACATTAAATATTGGTGATGACTGCTTTCCACCCATGCAGATTCAAGCTCCGTGAGGGAAGGAGCTCAAGCTGCTTGCTCATGTTTCAGTTCTCTAGCAGCCAGGTACAAAGCAGGAAGTGCTCTAGAAATATTTATTGAATTAATCATGAATGAATAAAATACAATGGTGACACAAAACATTTTAGCTGCAAAAACAAAGGAAACAAAAGGGCATCCCACTCATGAGTATATGTATGGTAAAGATTCCACTTAAAACCTAGTTCAATGTGCTTTCCATAAAGCTTACAAGAAAAGGCAGAATACTTTGGAGAATTTGTCATTTTGAAAGACAAATTGTTTTGTATCAAGGAACACAGGGCCTCATGCATGCTAGGCCAGTTTTGTATCACTGCTCAGCTCAGAAAGTTCTGTGGTTCTCAAAGCTTCCTCAACATCTGCTGATCCTAGGTCCCTAGGACACAGTACAGTTATTGTTAATAGATGACATTTGGGTAAGATAAGGTAGCATGGAAACTATTATTTGGATACTAAGCTACTTCCATGCTAGAGTATTAGACACTACATCAACTAGCTTGGATTTCACCAGAGAGAGCTATGGAAGATGAAAAATACCTTTCTTACCACAAATTGTAGTCTATATTTAAACAAAAATACCTGACTTCTTTCTTACCTTCAGAAGACAAGAAGATAGAAGAACTTAAGTAAATACTTTCTACTTATCGAAGAGGCTGCTATCTCACACAGGCTAAAGAGGGATACCTATGATTTTATAAGAGTCTATAATCCACACTTGCAGGCATCCATGATGAGTCACAAACCAAATACAATCGCAGACCATGTGGTCTGATGGAGACCACTTCAATGTGGAAGACTGCACTAGCCAGCTGAAGGCTCTGAGTAACTGTCCCCATCAATAACTTAGAATTGATGACAATGCTACTGGTGGCTTCATTTTCAGGGGAAAAAGAAAGGACAAGATAGGGACTATTAAAAATTTGTTTACCTGCTAGTGGCAAGGAGATGAATGGAATGGTGGGTGTGCTTCCAGGTAGATTGGTCTCAGGTACGGGAGTTTTATAAGTATTAAACATTTGGCTTGGATTTGGCCCATACCAAACTCCTGCACCTGAAGTTCCAAACCCATGCTGACTATAAAATCCATTGTTCCAGAATGGCACCTGTGAGTGGCTGGCTGGCCCTGACAGCGGGTGTGCTGTATTTCCATGACTGGCGGTACTGGGATCAGAAAAACCCTTGGCCTCTGCACTCTGAACATTCTTACGAGGTCTCTGCTGTGCAAAGGGGTCATGGGAGACCCTTCGTTTCCTTTCTTCCTCTCTGCTGTAAGCCACATTCTGCTTGGGCTGCGGTTTTGCCTGTTTCTCTGTGAATCTTCCAAAAGCATGGTAACTGGCTTCCTCTTGAAGTTTAGCTTGCACACTGCGCTCATTCTCTTCCTGCGGTTGCTCTGGAGAGGAAGAAAACCAGGACTCCTCCACAGGCCCCATCTGGAATCCCTGGGAGCTATGCAGCGAACCAGGCTGTTCTGCAGCAGAGAAGAAAGGATAAATATGAAAAGCAAAATAAAACATGAACATTTTTTCATAAACCTGTCCTTGAGTGACATGCTGAAAATAAAAATCGTGAAAAGCATACAATGATCCCCTATAGGTTTAGTACATGATCAGCAGGAACCCTGACTGCCAGGGGAAAACATGGGATTATCACAAGCAACAAAACAGTTTTGCAGGGATGGCTGAGGCAGAAGAGGGACTTGCATTGGATCTAGATGGTGACTGTCACCTTGGAAACCATGTGGGGGTCTAAAAAAGTAACAGCTATGTTCTGTGCACATCCTATTGTTCTTTTGCTCTTTAAGAGCCTGTAGGAAGGCTAGAGAGACGGCGTGGTGGTTAAGGGCACTTGCTGTTCTTGCTGAGCACTTAGGTTAAGTTCTCAGCTCAGGACCCATGTCAGGTGGCTCATAACAACCTGTAACTCCAGTTCCAGGGGATCTGATGTCCTCTTTCAGCTGCCATGAGTATTACTCATATGTGGTGCACAGAATCAGACATGTGCACACACATACAAATGACATATGTATGTTTATGTAATAAATGATATATATACATGCTTATGTATATATATGTGTGTGTGATCATATAATGAATTATAACAAATCACACATACAAATAGATCACATATATATATGATTATATAACAAATCACATGTAGGTTTATATAATAAACCGTGTGTGTGTGTGTGTGTGTGTGTGTGTGTGTGTGTGTGATTATATAATGGATTATAACACACACACACACACACACACACACACACACACACACACAAGCTTGGGGTAGTGCAGGCCATTCTACCCATGACTGGATGAGGTTTGGAAGAGATAAGGAAATTTGCTCCAGATGGCATCTCACATCATGTTTTCCCTTTTGTGGTAAAAAAAAAAAAAAAAGCACCCCTGTGTGAATCTGCAGTGCTCTGGTCTCAAGGACTCTGTACCCATCTGTGTCCCCAACTTCCTCCTGAATTGTCACTGTCTTCCTATGAGATGCATCAGATTGCTTGGTCAAAACACTGAGATTCTGGTGAACACATAGTTAAGAAGTATTTCCAATATACATATATTTTAGAACATACATTAATTCTTTTAAGGCAGCTGTTTGAATTTACATTCTTGTCCAGTTTCCATATGGTTTTCAGAATTCTTTTTCTTTCTTTTTTTTTTTTTTTTTTTTTTTTGGTTTTCGAGAAAGGGTTTTTTGGGGTAGCTTTGGAGCCTATCCTGGCACTCACTCTGGAGACCAGGCTGGCCTCGAAATCACAGAGATCCGCCTGCCTCTGCCTCCCGAGTGCTGGGATTAAAGCTATGCAGCACCAACTCCCGGCAGTTTTCAGAAGTATTTTAAGGGCTAAAATGAATGAATGAGTAGGCAGATGAGTGGGGACATTACCTGAATTTGACCTGCTTGGAGGTAAGGGTACACAATCATACTGGAGAGAATACATCCTCTTCAAAACTGTGCTTTGATCTGGATACTTTTTCTATAGTTGAGAAGATACACATACCTTAGTAATCAGCAGAAAATTATTCTGAAAGAATCAAGCTCTTCACACCACCAAGACATTTCATACAAATAAAATAAGCAATAACCTTTTTTCACAAATTAAACATTTTTTCCAGATAAGATGATATGTCAAATTAACATAGTTAATTGGAAGACTTATATTTCCTAATCTCAAGTTACCACAAAGTTACAGAGATCAAAACATTGACAGTTACATAACAAAGACACACAGATCAAAGGTGCAGAATAGATTGTCTAGTAATACTCTTCCACCCTCATTACACAGTCATTGATGTTTGACCAGGGTGCCCTAGAGCATCCAGAGAGGGAAAACTGGATATACACATATACAGAATGAAGATGGATCCTTATCATATACAAGAAGTAACTCAACATACATCAGTGATCCAAATTCAAGTGCTGAAACCCTAAGACTCTTAGAAGAAAGTGTAGGAGGAAATGGTCATGGCACTGGTCCTTGCAATTATTTCCTGACGATGATACCAAAAGCACAGCTAACAATTGCCATGAAATCAAATTAAACTTTTGCCACATCAAAATGAGAGTGTGTACATCAGAAGAAGCCATCAAAAGAGCAAAAAGGCAACCCACAGGATGGGGAAAATATTTGTAAACCATATATATTTGATAAGAGATGAATATTCTGAATATATAAAGAACATCTATGACTCAACAACAACAACTACCACTACCATCTCCACCCCTACAAATAATCCAATTTAGAAACCAGCAAATGGAGGTCTGGGGATATAACACAATGGTAGAATACTGCCCAGCATGTGTAAAGTCCTGGTTGGATCCCAAACACAAATTATTTTAGCCAGGCATGGTGGTGGGACATGTCTATAACCCCAGCACATGGGGTTGAGCCAGGTGAATCATGAGTTGGAGATAATGCTTTGGCTCTTTAAAACTAAAACAACAAACACCCTCAATGTGGAAAAACTGCATTCTCCAAAGAAGAAAGTTAATGGGAGCAAGCATTAGCATGGGAAAGACGCTCAACAACCAGGAAATGCCACTTCAAGTTGAACAGAATGGCTAAAGCAGAACAACATAAAAATAGTATGTTTCTGTGTGAGACTATGGCAACTGAACTCTTGTACACTGCTGGTGGAGAATGGGGAGACACTTCAGATGCCATGGATAATGGTGTAAAGGCTCCGATGTCTATATGGCCTAGCTATCTCATTCCTAGGTAAATACCAAAAAAAACCGAAAGCACATGCTTGGCACAAAACCTGTACACCACTGTTTCCACAGCATCATTCAACAATAGCTCACAGGGATGAACAACTCTGACATCTATCAACAGATGACTGCACAGACAAATGTGGTATCATACACACAGTGGGATATTTTCAGCAACAAAATGAATGGTCTGGTAAGTAAAACGTTTCTACAAATGGAAAAACACCATATGGGTTTATTCCTATGGGCTACCTAGAAGGCAAATTCAGAGACAGAGATTAAAGACCGCTGGGGGAGGAGAAATAGGGACTTGTTATTTAGTAAGTAGAATTTGTGTTTGGGTTGATAAAATTCTAGAAATAGAAAGTGGTGATGGCTGTGCAACCCTGAACTGTATACTTAAAAATGGCTAGAAAAGTCAATTTTATCACAATAAATAGATAATTGGGGTGGAGATACAGCTCAGTCATAGAGTACTTGCCTAGCATGCATGAGGCACTGATGATAAGATCAATCCCTAGGATCAGGGTTGGGGGGGGTGTGAGAGAGAAAATTTTCTTCTGTATGTTAAATAACATTTTTATTAAAGAAAATGTGAAAATGTAGGAAATCATACTTTTCAAAATCCTACCAAAGGAATGAGGTTAACATTCTGTAACTTTCCTTCATGGTTTTTTTCTACTTACACTTGTATTTTTGCTCACATCAGTAAGCCATTCAAAACTAGCCGCTGAAAAAAAACACATGCCTTGGGAAGGAATGTCACAGCCATTAGTATGTCCACCTTCTAGTGCTTTAAATATTGCTTTTATTTGTCATGAAATGTAGCTTTATGTTTGCTCTGTTTGAGTCAGGATCTTCCTATGTGGTCCTAGGTTGTTTCGGAACTCACTTATATAGTTCAGGCTGGCTTCAGACTCAGAGCTCCACTGGCATTTGCTTCCTAAGGGCTGGGATTAAAGGTGTGTGTTACCATGTCCAGCAGTTTCCCCATTTTTAACATTTTGTAAAAGTGATTTTCTTTTTATAGTTATTTTTCATTACACAATGAATTTAAGTAAGAGTTTTGAAAATTCACACAATGCAGAACATGCAGAGTCATCTCTGTGTGCTGTTCCTTCCAGCCCTCTAGTCTGTTCTCTATGGGGAACCCTTATTCAGAGTGGGATGTCTAGCCCTTTTCTCCCTCTAGGTACTGGCATGCACATTCCAAAGCATGCAAATGCATATACACATATACAAATACATACACACACACACTATTAATACAAAGGGAAACACAATAGCTTTTCAGTGACTACTTATTTTCATTAACAAGTCTTGAAGAGCCTTCTGTATCATTTCACTTCATTTTCACCTGTTCTCAATATTAGTTATGTGGGTTTAGATCAACTATAGCATAAGCAACCTTTGAAATTACATTTTTGAGTGTGCATGCTAGGATGGGCTCCTAAGGTTGTGAGTATGCATGCATGGACAGTTTTCTATCACTTTGAACACACGTGAGGACCAGTTTTTATAATGCCTGATAGGTGATTGAGAAGTCTGTATTTACCAACACTTAGTATTACCAATTATTCAAAAGTGGTAATCTTAGGGATAAAAAATTGTGATTTAATTTGTTTTTCTGCAATACCAGATACAGTTCTGAAATTTGTTGGTCAGTGACATGGTATTTCTTCTGATGATGATTCTTATTCAAAAACATTGTTTTATTTACTTCATCAGTTTCTGGGGTAGGTGTGATTGTTTCTTTTTTCCTGACACCAACTTAAAACTTGTTGAGTTCACTGCAGAATTTGGGTGAGATTTTTCCGTTAGGTTTGTGCTCTATACATTAATGACATTAAGAAAGCTAACAACAGCTTTATCAGATTATATGCCTTTTTCAATTCATAACCATATGCCAACATTTATTTACCTTTTACTCATGTCTTTTTGAAAAGTTTCTCCATGTTTGCCCATCTGTAGATACTCTGTATTAACTGGTATGGTTTGATTTCCATTGCTACTGGTAGGGTTACTTTTCTGATGCAGTTGCTGGCTGAGCATTCTCTTTGGTGATTTAGTGACTTCAGTATTTTGTCTCTGCATTTTTGTTATTGTTTGTTTGTTTGTTTGTTTTGTTTTGTTTTTGGTGTTTTTTTGTTGTTGTTGTTTTTCGAGACAGGGTTTCTCTGTGTAGCTTTGGAGCCTATCCTGGCACTCGCTCTAGAGACTAGGCTAGCCTTGAACTCACAAAAATCTACTTGCCTCTGCCTCCCGAGTGCTGGGATTAAAGGCGTGGGCCGCCAACGCCAGGCTACCTTGATTATTTGTCCCTTTTATAGTGTAAGCATCCCTACAAAGTCTGTAAATTCTTGCTAGTTTCTATACCTACCTACCCCCTACTCACCCACCTACTTCTTCCTTGAAAATCAGTTTGCTTGCTTGGTTTATTTACTGAAGTTTCCTTTTCGAATCTGCAGGTGTATGACCCTAAGACAGTTATGGCAGCACAGTGGTGACTAAGGAGTGTGTGTGTGTGTGTGTGTGTGTGTGTGTGTGTGTGTGTGTGTGTGTGTGTGTATGTGTGTGCAGATGTGTATGCAGGTTTCGGTTCCTCTCAGCTGGCTGGCTTTAGGAAACTGGACTTTAATATATCTCTCTTACTTCAGAACTCCCCACTTCAGCCTTAGATGCTGTCGCCACTGAGAACTTAGCACAGAGGAAGTACATGGAGGAACTAGCTTTTCTTGACAGCATGCATGTGGTTCTCAAATGACTGTTCCCAGCGGTGCCTGCTTGCTTCTCCACAACTCCTCCCTTGGCATTAGCTTGTGGGTTAGCATTTTTATTTCTTTGTATGTTTTTGTTCTCTTCCTATTTGGTGAATTTGTTGTTGTTGTTGTTGTTGGATGTGTGATTATTTGCTTGTTTTGTGGTGCTGGCAACAGAACTCAAAGTCTCATGCATGATCTATCACTGGGCCATATCCCCAGGAAGGTTTTTTTTTCTTTTTTCTTTTTTTTTTAAATAAATTCCTCAGAATGATTGACTCACTTGTAATAATTTCTAGTCTCTTCTATGTTGGGTGTCTTTTCTTCTCTTTTTTCTTTTTTTTTGTATTTTGTATATATATTTTTCTCTAGCTTCACACATTTCAATGGAGAAACCAGCCCAACTGCTAACATGAAACTTCATACGATTGCTAGTTTTGTTTCCTGTATTCCCTAAGCTAGCTTACTTTTAACTCAGTAACAAATTACATTGCTTTTGCTTCCATGCTTGACGCTTGATAATGCATTTCGGTATGCTGCTGTTCTGGGTTCTTGCTATATCACTCACCTTTAAACTTGCCACATCTTCTTCTACATATTCTTCAAATTGACTTAAGTAAAAAGGCCTAAATTCTTCTTCAATGCCTGTATGAAAAAATAATCCTTTAAATTTCTTATCTTGTGTCTGTGTATGTGTGTGCGCATGCGTGTATGAGCACAAGAGAGCATGTTTGTAAATGAGTGTGTGTATGCTCACGTGTGTGAGTGTGTGTGGAGGCCCCAAGAAGACCTTAGCTATCCCTCAGCTGCAATCCACCTTGCTTTTTGAGACAGGGTCTCTTGCTGGCCTGGACCTTGCCAAGGCTAATCTGGTTGGCCAGTGAGCTTCAGGATCTGCTTGTTTCCCCCTCCCCAGAACTGGAATCCCAAGTACTTATCATCACAATTGGGTTTTTTTGTCAGGGGGTGGCATATCAACTCAGGTCCTCCTGCTTTCAAGACAGTTTACCAACAGGACCATCTTCCCAGACCCCTAAACTTCTTAATTAAAAAAGTTAAGTATTAATAATCTATTATTTTTAAGTCACTTACCATAGTGTGTAGACAAAGAAATGAAATAAAGTTTGCAGTTCCAAATCAGTGACTTTGATGAAGAGACCAGAGCTCAATGCCAGGTAGACAGAATAGGGTTAACACTTGCAATCCCTGGCTCCAGCAGAACAGTGTGCCTTGCTCTGGCCACAGCACAAAGTCCTGTGATGTGACGTAATCTCCAAGTGAATAAGGATGACTGAATTCCATGTTTTCTGTCTTTCTGGCACTACAAAGCTAGAGTTACTAGAGTGGGGGTGGGGGTATTGCTGGACATGGTGAAGGATGCATATAATCCCAGAATTTGCAAGGCTGAGACAGAGGGACTGTCACAAACTCAAGGTTAGGCTAGATTACATATGAGTTCCAAGGTAGCCTACACTACAGAGTGAGGTCCTATCTTAACAAAAGAAAACACAAAATCTTCTCTTCTAGGAAAATAGACTAGCCATATTTTTCCTGCAAAGTACAATAAAACATCCTAGAAGTTATATACATAACAAACATATGGATACCCTGGAAGAAAGATAGACAGGGTGGCTTGGACCTCAGGGTCTGTGAAAACACATGAGAGTAAGTTTGCTGTGTTTTCTTTTTGCCTCATACATCCCATATTTAATCTGAAAAGCAAGCAACCCAGCAATATCATCAGTCACAAATAACAGCAAAACAATGACAAAAGCCTGCTCTTTCTAGCCAGGGGACTAAGCATAGGGCAGACTACTAGCACACAAAACCTTTTGGTTGGTGATCACTCTACTAACCAGCTTACACCACAGAAAACAACCATGATTTCACCCTATTCCCATAAACTCAGTGGACAGCCTAGATTTCCATGGTGGTTTGAATGAGAATGGCCTTCCAGGGGCTCACATATTTGAATGCTTGGTCCTCAGCTGGTGGAACTGTTTGGGCAGGATTAGAAAGTGTGGCCTTGTTGGAGGAGGTGTGTCAAAAGCCCAAGCCATTCTCAGTTAACTCTCTCTTCTTTAGATCATGTCTCAAGATGTGAGCTCTATTAATGCTCTAGCACCATGCCTGTCTGCCTGCCTGACTGTGGGCATGCTCTCTGCCATGGTAGTCCTAGTCATCTGCAATTGTAAGCCCCAACAAACTCCTTTTCTATAATTTGCCTTGGTTCTGGTATCTTATCACATCAATAGGGCAGTAACTAAGACAACTTCCAACCTGGTGAGGGGCTTTCCTGGATAATAAAAGAGATCAAAGAGGAATCCCGTATCATCAGCAGGTAATGGGAATAGCCTGGTAATAAGATATTCCCTTTCTCTGCATTGGCAATATGTCTGAGAAAGCCTTGTAGAGACAGCAGGGGCATTTGTCACTTTCCAGTGGTTATGAGGGCTCTCCACTTCAGTGGAGATGGGAACTTCATGGACTCTGTTGGATCTCTAACTCAGGCCAGCAGCACCAGAGCCTTTGCCTCCACCATTGATGGGGCTGAGTGGGACCTTGGAACTTCACTTTGCATTAGTAAGGTACTGGTCACTATTCCCCCTGCTAAAGTAGCATCAGAAAACATCATTAACAGGAAGCATACTGAAGATACAAAGTGCATAAGTTTTAATAGGAAAAACACTCCCTACAGTAAACCAGAAAGACTCTACACTAGCTGACAAAAGGACTAAAACAGATGTCAACGTTGAGATAACAGAAACACTAGCATTACCTGCCAATGACATTAAAACAGTATAATGGCTCAGGGAAATATAACCCTGCTGAAACAAATGAAGACTGGAAAAGATTGTAGGAAGTACAGGTCAGCAGTAGAGTGTGAGATAAGCATGCTTAAGGCCCTTGGTTGATGTTTGGCGTGTGCTCGCGCGCGCGCACACACACACACACACACACACACACACACACAAATTCTAGAGTTGAAAAACACAATAACCAAAACAAAATGCTCAGTAAGGGTTTCAAAGTGAAATGGAAGGAGCAGAGAATAATCCGTGAGCTGCCTAATGTAAAGAAGAGAGGGAAAGTTCATCAGAAACAAAGAGTAGAGCAGCAGAGATCTGTGGTACCACAACCAACATCTGGTATTTATGTCATTGGAGCTCTAGAAGACAAAAGGAAGGAGGTGGAGCTGAAAAGGCACTCAAATGAAGAAACAGTTGGAAGATTGTGAAATATTGAACAAGGAAAAACCTATACGTTCAGGAAACCAAGCAAACCCCAGCACAAAGAAACAGAAATCTACACTAAAACAAAATAACTAACCTGAGAAAGGCAAAGACAAAATACTGAGAATAACTATAGAAACACAAGGGGAAATACTACCCACAAGAAAACATAGACACACACACACACACACACACACACACACACACACACACACACACACACGGCAGGCAGCTCTTAGAATCCCCAAGTCTCCTACTGTAGTAAAGGTATCATTTAGGAGAAGCAGGAGGAGTAGACAGCCTCAGAACAGGGGAAAAGCCACTGGAAAAGCCAAGCCACTGACGAGATCTGGACCAATGGGTGGAGCCCATCCCTCAAGCTGCTTTTGTCCTGTATTTTGTCACAGCTATAGGAAAAGTAACTAAACTACCAGTCTCACTTTACTGAAGTGTCACCATATGGGATGCATCCTGAAAGGCACACAACCTGCTCTTACCAGGGAATGTTGGCCGGTCCTCTGGGGCTGCTTGCCAACACCGCTCCATGAGGCTGATGATCTCTCTTGGGCAGTGCTCAATGATGTCCTCCACATTTGGCCTGTTCCCAGAGTTTATGCAAATCAAGAGCTGCTCAGCACAGATGGCGTCTGCAAAGAGGGATAAGCTTCAGTTGGGGTTCTCGGTCCTACTCTACTCTCAGGAAGGAAGATGACAGGACATGAACAATACCTACCGCTATTTTGTCTCTACCTAGTATATGCTTTTCCCATGGCTGTCTCATCTCACTCCATAGAGCAATAGCCTGTGACAAGGAGTTATCAGAGTCTATTGTAGAGATGACAGAATGAGGTTTTGACTTTTGCAGATGAGAGACAAAATTCAAAACCAAGCTACTTTTTCACAACAAACAAAATCCATGGGTAAAGTCAGGGCATTCCCCAGAGTTCAATACAGAGGCAAAACCAGGATGGTCTGGGCTTTAAGAAGCTCAATTTAATGAGAGTGACTTAAAATACACACTGACAACTGACACTCAAGTAGCAAATATGGTGGAGAACAGAATGTCTGAGAAGATTTTCCTGAGTCAGAAAAGGAGGTGTTATCAAGGTAAAGGACCAGGAAGGAGGACTCCTGAGGGAGACTCCAAGCTAGGGCAGCAGGAAACTGATAGGGTGGGAATGACAGAAATCATATGCACCAGTGACCTGTGCCCAGTGTAAGTGGGCACACTGACGTGAGGCAAAGACAGAGAGGAGGGTGGAGAGAAGCCAGGGTGGAACCAGAAATGGCCTCATACTTTACACTGGGAAACTTGAAGGCTATGGGAGTCTTTCAAGGATTTTAAATAGCCAAGATGATCCTCTCTGCCTTAAAAACTTTTTATTTCCTTGATTTTTATTTTATGTGTATGGGTGTTTTGCCTGCACTATGTCTGTGCATCACATGTATCCAATGCCCATAGAGCCAGAAAAGGATGTCAGATACCCTGGGACTGGAATTACAGACAGCTGTGAACAGCCTCTTAACCATAGAACCAGCTCTTCACCCTGTCCCGTCTGCCTTTTAAGATGACTATCTTGGCTGCTTTCTGATTGTGGAAGGCTCAAGGATCCTGCAGCAGAAATAAGGAAGCTAGTGGAGAGATGTTCACAGAATTCATGTTTGTTTGTTTTTCAGGCAGTGCTAGGGCTTGAACCAGGCCTCTACAAGATGCTAGACAAGTGCTGTAACACCGAGTTCTATCCCTAGTTGCTGAATTCAGGTTTTGAGGTTTTATTGGATGTGGGAGAGGGAGACAATGTTGAGTCTCAGGTGAAGCTGCTTATTGTGCAACTCAGTACGGGTGGTGAGCACAGGGAGCTATGGAAGAGTGGTGGTAAACTTGGGAGCTTGTTGGGGTGCCGCTTTGGAGGTTCCTGAGGTATATGTGTTGGGTCTAATAGGCTAGTGGATGTCTTGGTCATGGTCAGAGACTAAGATTTAAGAGGCATCAGCAGAGCTGATGATCCCTAATCTACTGGTGTTGATAATCTTTGTTTATAGAAAGGAGCCACTCCTTTCCATGCTTAACCAAACCCAAGGATGACTGTGCCTCTTCACAAAGACTTATTCACCTTTATATTCTCAACTGACTGGAGTGTTCACAGTAGGTAACGAAAAAGGTTCATTCACAAATAGAATCAAGTACGGGATACATGCCTAGTAGTATGAAAGGCCATCCCTACTCCAGGAGCAATCCTGGAGTTTTACAGCAACTCCCAAGCTGTAAAGATAAAAGGGTCAATCCACCTGATGAGTTTATCCTAAACTGGGATGACTAATTAAACAAGAGTCTCCTGATTACATCCAGGCATTGTGTGTGTGTGTGTGTGTGTGTGTGTGTGTGTGTGTGCGTGCGTGCGTGCGTGTGTGTGTGTGTGAGTGTGTGTGTGTGTGTGTGTGTGTGTGTGCGCGCGTGCGTGCTAAAGATACTAGCAGTGAATAAATCAGATGCAGAGCCAGCCTTTAAGAAATAATCATGGATTTTTAACAGAATTCACTGAAGGCCACTATTTTATGTAAAAGTTTTAAAAAATTATTACATTTAAAAAATTAGTGTGTGTGTGTGGGGGGGGCGAGGCAGGAAGTCAGGGAGAGGAGGAGAGAGGGGAAGAAAGAGAGAGGAGATATATCTGGGTGCCACAGTGCATATATGGAAGACAGAAGACAAATTTTTGAAAGTCACTTCTCTCCTTCTCCATGTAAGTCCTGGAGTTTGGATTGAATTCAGGTTGTCAGGGTTGGTGGTAAATGCTTTTACATGCTGAGCCATCTCACCAACCCTCATGTAACATTTTGATTTCTATCAAAATCCCACATCTAAAATTGTCTTACTCTCGTAGGGCTCCTTATTTGCAAATATTGCCCAAAGTACAATGCCAAAACTGTACACATCTGACTTCTCTGTGGGCTTTGCATTGATGTCACTCAGGTGTTCAGGCGCCATGTAGTAGAGGGTGCCTCCATTCTTAGAGATGCTGTTCACTTCCTTCTGCTTGTTGTGTTTCTCTTTAGTCAGTATACTCCATGTCTTAAAGGAAGCCACACCAAGATCAGCTATCTGCAAAAGAGGTGGGGCCAACAGAATTTACTGCATGAAGGTTACAAGTAAATTAAGCTTGATCTTTATGAAATAAAATCTGGGGACTATCCAGTACATGTATGGAACAGTCAATTTTCTAATGGTTACACTGAGCTATCTAGAATAGTTACTTCTCAATAGACTCATAAAGACTCAGAATGTTCATGTAAAGTTCTGGCATCTCAATTCCCAAAGTTTATTTTTAAACATTTATTTATTTATTTATGGGGGGCACACAAGCCAAGATGTATGTATAAAAGTCAGAGGACAATTTTGCAGAAGTCCTTTCTCTTTATTTACTAGGCTTTAAACTCAGGTTTTCAGGCTTGGCTGGCAGAAAGTACCTTTATTAGCTGATCCACCTTGCTGGGCCCTTCACATCTAATTCTTAATTAATAAGAAGACTGGGGACAAGACAATGAAACCATGTTTGTGCTAACTTCTCATTTATTTTGCATTTTTTTTTTGTTTTTTTTCTGGGGAAGATGGAGACTGGTTACCACACCTTCTATATGCCAAGTAGCATCCAGAGGACCATGGCTGTGTTAACACCTTCTATGTGCTCAGTAGCATCCAGAGGACCACAGCTGTTAACACCTTCTATTTGCCTAATAGCATCCAGAGGATCATGGCTGTGTTAGCACCTTCTATTTGCCCAATAGCATCCAGAGGATCATGGCTGTGCTTCCAAGCATCCCAAAGCCACCCTGAGGGTGAGACCGTTGCTGCTACTTGTTTTGAGTTGGCAGCCTGAACCTAAGAGAAAACAGGATGGAGAGAAAGAAATCGAAAAACATATAAAGGCAGAGAAAGATAACAAAGTCAGACACAGAGAAGAAAGCGGCAGGGAGAAATGGCAGAGCAGGACAGTTTTGGAAGAATCCAAGGGGAAGCCCTTCTGTCATGTGCTTACCTGACATTCAGAGACTTTAACCCAGAATGCAAGGGGTAAGTTGTTAATTGAAAGAAGGAATAGTCTTAAAAGACACTGGGATTACTAACCGACCAAGACACAAATGGTGTCAGATGAGGATCTTAAAGGCAGGTCCTGGTTTTTATCCATTGCTACACATTTTCAGGTTCTTTTTGTTTCTTATTGGTGTGGCTCTGGGGATGACACTCAGGACTCTGTCCCTGAGCTATTTAGTCCCCTTTCAATCTCCAGCTTGGAGTCTAGCTGCCAAGACTAATCACATGTGCTATTGTTTCCCTTAGTTAAATGCAGCCCCTGAGTAAGTGAAAGATGTGTGTCCTTTTTCTTATTACCTTTGCTTAACAAAAAGAGTTTTCAAAAGGAAATTGATTTTTTAAATGAAAATAGAAATAAACAAGCTGTCAAAGCAGAGGTCTTTGTTTTGGGGTGCCAGAACTGAGCCCAAGATGTTCGAGACAAGCTGAATCACATCCCTAGGTACACAAGTAGAGGATTCTGAGGCCAAAGTGGCTGATTTACTGCTGCTGTGACTCTGAAGCCATTTCTGAATTCTAAGAACATTTTCCACACATTTCCATTCTCCCTTTATCTCCAGGGTAGAACAGCCTTAGTCACAAGATTTCCTGGGAAAAATAATTAGCAGACAGCCCATTCCAGAGAGAAGACAGAAACCCTCGGGTGCTTCCATGCCCAAGTCTATCCAGAGGGAAGCAAAACCCAGGAACCAGGAATGAGACTTTTTTCATCACTGTATCCTTCGTTAACTCCCAAACCAAGCTCGCCTGCACCTGCCCTTTCATACCATGGCAGCCTTGCAGCAGCACCATCCTGCTCAGTGCTGAGCTAGGTCCCCCTTTATCATTATCATCTACAGGAATGGATTTCCAGAGGAAAATTCAAGCTACAATTATTCAGCTGTCTCAAAGAATAGGTTGTGGGTTACCTTGATGTGAAAGTCACGGTCAACGAGGATGTTTTCAGGCTTCAGGTCCTTGTGTATCACACCTTTGTCATGTAAGTAGCACATTCCTTCGATGGTCTCCGAAATTATCCTTCCTTTTACAGAAAGCGGGACACTGATCTGAAACAACACATTAAATGGAAAAGGAGTAACTACTACAGCCAAGATGGTGGGACATGAGCTCAAGGTTTGTGTAAGCAGGTTTCTCCCATCAGGTGGTCTGCAGCACCTCAGTCCCTGGGAAACAAGCCCCTTTCAAAAAAGATTCCACTTCAGGGCCAATGGGATACTAATGCAGGATTTTGTTCAGTGCAAAAAAATCTAAAAAAAAATTTCTATGCCATTCTGGATGCATTGGATGGAAAAAAAAAAAATTAAAAAAAAAAAAAAAAAAAAAAAAAAAAAAAGAGAAGTCACTGGTCCTCCTGCCTCCTCCTCCTTCAGCAAATCCACCCACATGCACCACTATGGTACATACAATGGAGTATTTCTCAGCTGTTAAAAACAAAGACATCATGAAATATGCAGGCAAATGGATGGAACAACAACAACAAAAATCCTCCTGAGTGAAGTAACCCAGATCCAAAAAGAAAAACATGGTATGTAGTCACTCAGAAGCAGCTATTAGCTGTAAAGTAAAGGACAGTCACGCTGCAATCCACAGACCAAGAGAAGCTAAGTAACAAGGAGGGTGCAAGGGAGGAGGCATGAATCTCTCTGGGAAGAGGAAACAGAACAGACATTGATGGTGGATGGGTGGGTGGGGGATGGGAACATGAGTGAGGAGGATAGAGGAAGAAAATACTGCAAGAGACAACTGGATTTGGGGGCATTTAGAAACCTAGTGCAATGAAAACTCCCAGAAGCCTAAGAGGGTGACCCAGCTAAGATCCTTAGCAACGGGAGATAAGAGAGCCTGAATTGGCCATCTTCTATAACCAGGTTAAGACTTCCAGTGGAGGGATTGGGACACCAACCCAAGTTACAGTTGTGTAGCTTGGTCTTCTTGTGGGACTCCTAACGGTGGGAACAGAGGCTATCTCTGGCTCTTTTGCGTTCATTTTCCCCCTATTAGGTTGCCTTGTCCAGCTTTAACACTAGGAAGGTAGGTAGTCTTACTGTAACTTGATAAGTCATGTATGGTCAATATCCATTAGAGGCCTGCCCTCTTCTGGAAAGAAAGGTAGAAAGAATGGCTGGGGTGGGGGTGGAGGGTAAAGAGGAGGTGGGGGGAAGGTCTTGGGGAACAAGAGGGAGAGGAAACTGAAGTTGGAATGTATAAAATAAATAACAAAAGAAGCCATGAATTAGAAAGCAATTGAGGGAAGTTGGGGGGGGGGATACATGGGAGGTATTGAAGGGAGAAAAGGGAAGGAGGGAAATGAAATATTTTAACTTTTAAAGATAATTTATAAAAGAATATCCAGAGACCACTTGATATTTTATTCACTCTACAATATCCTTTATGTCTAGTGCATTATGTAATAAAAACTCATGTTTACAAGAACATGAAATCATGCTCCTTGTAAACAATTACATTTATTATTATTATTTCCATTTCTGCCACTACTACAAAGATTGCCTCTGTGTGCCTAAAATGATGTCTAGAACGTTTGAATGAACAGAAAAATGCACAAACATTTCCCTTGCATACTCATGTGACATGACATTGTTATTTACATTAAATATAAGAATAATGTCAGGGAAATAGGAATATGAAATGACATTGAGAAAAAACGAGTACAAGGAAGTTATGTTCACACTGCTGACAGCAACATAAGCATCTCTGCCACAAGACTGATTCTAAAGCTATGCTAGAGTCCATTCAGTTTTTTTGTTTGTTTGTTTGTTTTATGTGACCTGGCAGCAGACACTTAAGATCTCAGGTCATTCTTAAGATAATACTTTACTTAGATCAATCTTGACGTCATTATTTTAAAAATGCACATTTATATTTTAGTGGTAAAATTTCAGTTTTTCTCAATACAAGAGCCAGCTTACAGAAAGAACTGTTCCTAGAAGCTATGTGTGTGTGTTACTGACTCACAGGAGAAGGTCAAGGTGATGGAACTTAGATTCTCAAGTCCTATGAAATCACAGCCTTCATTCCATCTGTGGTGGTTTGAATAGGTATGGACCCCATAGACTCATGTGCTTGAAGGCATGGCTCAGAGGGACTGGCACTATTAGAAGGTGTGGCCTTATTGGAGGAAGTGTGTCACTGTGGGGATGGGCTTTGAGATCTCTTATGATCGCCCAGTGTGGCACAGTCTCCTACCATCTGTGGATCAAGATATAGAACTCTCAGTTCCTTTTCCAGCACCAAATCTCCCTGCATGACGCTATGTTTCCTGCCATGACAATAATGGTCTAAACCTCTGAAACTAGCTAGCCCTAATCAAATGTTTTCCTTTATAATAGTTGCTGTGGTCATGGTGTCTCTTCACAGGAACAGAAACCCAACCTAAGACAACATCTTTATCCACATTACACTATAAATGAACCAAAGCATCAATAGCTTGACCACCACACTATAAAAGATAGCAGAAGGTTGGGTGTGGTGGTACACACCTATAGTGCCAGATACTGAGGAGGCTGAGGCAAAAGAATCACTTCAGCTGACAACAGCATTGCTATTGACCTTGTTTACAAAAATTAATTGATTAATTAAAAATAGCAGCAGAGATTTGTTTCCGTCTTCATTGGTATACTTTCAAGAAAGCCTTGTTAGCAAGTATGGTTGTCCCCCAACCCAACCTCTTCTTGCTTCTCTTAGGTTCCTGACTTTTCCTGGGTTTTATCCTGTGAAGTTTATCATTGGCTGAGCCCACAGAATGCCTTCCATCATAGACGACTTATCTCTGGAACAAGATGCCTACTGCTGTCACATGGCTGACTTTACCTGGGTTGGACTATGAGAACCATCTGGTCAAACTACAATGCCATGTGTATCATCTATTACTCTTCCCATGGGTGTTCATATTTCTGAGAGATCTGCTGTAATTTGGCAGTTGTAAGGTGTAGGGAGATGGAGGGAGGGAAAATATTTGCCACAAAGGCAGCCAAATGCTTCAGCCCCTTATACGAAATCTGTCTTCTGGGTAACTGGCAGTTCTACAAACTGGCATCCTCTATCTCTTTCACACACGGCATTCTCTGTGTCAGGAAGGCTTACCCTCCAGTTGTCTGCTTCCACTTGGCCTTCTGCAGTAAGCCTTTCTCATCTAGCTCAGGATGGAGCCGGCTCCTTACCTATGTCCCACAGCAGGTAACGGTGTGCCCATCAAACACCATCCCATCATACGCTCACTAGCTCTTTCCACCTCTAGCACTTGCCTGTGTTGTATCAGCTATGGGCTCCTGGAGAACTGACACAAGACTCAGATCCTAATAGGTACAGAAACTTTAAAAACTTTTCTCATTTTCATGAATTCAGTTCTTCCATTTTTAAATTTCACGTTGCTGTGGTTTATAGTCTAGATTTAACCTATAGTAACTTCTTAAATGGTCTAAAAGTACAATCGCTAACTTTCTACCTCCTCTTATAGTCAACAACAGTGTGTATGCTGTTCTTTATCACTATCATTTACAACATACAAGTTTGCATCAATCAACCCAAATTTGTTATCACTTACACTGACCACGTGTAAGAAGAAGATTCTTCAGATGAAGATAGGTCTATCTATCAACTGTGGATCAGAGAGGCGAGAGGTACAGTAAAGCGAGAACCTTGAAATGGTGACACAAAGAATTATCAGCAGGCTTGAAGGGTTGGGGAGGGGAAGACAGCTCCCAAGGAAGGGAGAGGCACAGATGTAAGAGGTACTAACTAGAAAATCCAAACTAAACCAGGATGTGGTGGGGCACACCTTTAATCCTAGCATTTGGGAGGCAGAGGCAGGTAGATCTCCATGAGTTCAAGGCCAGCCTGGTCTATATGTTGAGTTCCAGAACAGCCAGAGCTATATAACAGAGAGACCCTGCCTCAAAACAACAATCACAAAACCCCAACAAACAAACAAAAAACAAAACGAAAAAGAAAGAAGAGACTCCAAATCATGAGACAAAATTCCCAAGCAAAAAGCTACAAAGGAACCCCCAAGAGCAGCCAGCATCGGGCACCGACCTCGGCCTTCAGCACGTGCATCAGGTTGCCCTTCTCCATGTACTCCATCACCAGCGAGTAATTCCCTTCTTCTAGGATGACGCCCAGCAGCTTCACCACTCGACTGTGTCTCAGTCTGTGCATCATCTTCCCCTCCTCCAAGAGAGCCTCATTGTACCTGTGGGCAGGAAGAGCAATAGGCTGAGCAGGGTGAGGCGAAACCTTCTACCCAGGTGGCCAAGAAGCCAGTGTCCCTGCAGGGTGTCATACTGCAGACGTTTGTCACAGTCAGGTCTGTTCTGGTCTCCTCCAGGCAGATGGGTCCTAAAAGACTGAGAGGCTTCTCTTCATCTTTGTATCCCTCCCTCCCGCCCTGTCTTTGGAACAGGCAGTTGGGCACTCACGGCATGCAAATCAATGAATAAAAAGTGTAGCACTGATGGAGACTGAGCTGGAGAACACAGTAAAAAAGGCATTACTCTCAAAACTAGTCTGAGGAGGGAGAAATCCTCCACTGACTGCCTTTTACAAGGTTACTGGGACTTTTCTTCATGGAATTGGTCTTTTTTGTATTTCAGGTTAGGTGTTTTCACTCATGGCTCTGTTTTCTTTTCACGGCCTCCCCTGTTACCCAGGTTTCTGTCTTCAGTGATCTTTCCCACACATTTCTCAAGCATTAATATCTTTTCATTAATCCCAATGTCCTCATACAAAATAATAGTAAGAGTTATGGTCACATAGCCAGTGTGTCAAGTCTCTCAGCAGGCCAGGCTCATTTAGAACCACACAGGTGGCGATAACTACTTTCTGTGGACAGCTAGCATAGGGCCTACCCATTTCTCTTCCCGACTCACTCAGCACGGTTGGGCCCTGTGTACACCCTTTTGAGGATGACAAATCCATGACTTTTGTGGAAACACAAGGACACCTTCCCAAAGCCTCCACTGTCTAGATCTTTCTTTTCCAGCAGGTCACTGGATGACATCTTGATGTTGTCCAAGGACATATCTGGTTGCATTTTGAATGCTCACCACACCACTTTAGGTTCTTGCTTAGTGCTGTGTCCTATAAAGAAAACAAAGAGGATATCTCAGGGCATGATTTTAAAAGACCATTATTTAAAAATCAAAAACAAAAAATACCACATGTTGCCAGACATGGTGGCACATGCCTGGAATCCTGTTACCTAGGAGGTTGAGTTAGAAAGATTCAAGGTTTGAGGCTAGCTTGTACTCCATAGTGAGTTTTACATCAGCTTGAACAATACAGCAAATCCTGTCTCAGGAAACAAAAACTCACAAAAGTACCACGTATGTGGGGTGCCTTTGTTTTCATTGAGGATTAGTGTAATCTGCAACATGAGCTGTTCAACTAAGAGTTACAGAAGCCTGTGATTTTTATTCCAGGGGACTTTTCATTTCGGGCAGCGTAGAACACTAGAACAATTTTAAAACATTCTGCCACAAAGAGCTACGCATGTTAGATAACTGAAATTCACAGTTTAGTACAGTAGAAAAGGAGAAGTCCCAGAGACAAAAAGCAGACTGAACACTGGACAAGGAGTAATGACTTACTCCCATGGTGACAACTGTACCAGTGTGGCCTTGGTTAGGAGTGGAGGTGGTATGCAATACAAGAGGGTAGGAATGAGGCCTTCCTATCACTTGGAGCTCCTCAGCATACTACTTCTTAGTGGAAAGATGGATTGGAAAAAATAAAAAAGCAATCACTAGCAAATGAATACATGTGTCTACCACCAGGGATGAGGTGTTAAAAAAAATTCTCTGTGAATTCAAAACCTTGAGCCATCTCCAAATAAGTTTGGGCTTTAAGTTCAGAGGATTCTGGCCATTCTCTTTAGGGTAGGATTCCCCACACGAAGAACGTTTATGTAGAAAGAGAGCATAGTCTGATGACATCCTCAGATTATAAAGTTAAACCCAACAAAACAACTTCAAGGCAGGCTAGACAGAATCCATCCTCTCCCATAATTACTTCAACATAAACTCTCTTTCCAAAAGTATAAATAACAAAAAATTCCCTACGAGCTAGACCCTGTGTATATAACAGACTGCAGTACCAAGTACTGGGGAGAACCTTAGGTAATTAGTCTATTGCATAACAATAGGAAATAAGTATGTTCCAAGTAATTAAGAGCAAAATTCATGACTGGAAGAATATAAAGAGAATAACACACTATGATGTGAAAAAAGAATGAGGACTGCAGAGATTTGCTCATCTCTGCTGAGTGACATTCAGGGTTTCTCAGAATGAGGACTTAAAGAAGTGCTTTGGTGGGGAGGCATGGAGCCGCAGTACCAGGCTGAGTGTGGCAGCTTGGCTGAATTCAACATCCTCCTGGTCACCCACTCATCCAAGGTGACTCACTATAAACAATTCCTATTCAAGCACTGTTTTTTTCTGCTTTAAGTACTGTGAAAAGAAGACAGACACTCCAAAGGAAGGAAGGTAAACACATAAGGAAACAGTGGTTTATGGGTTGCAGTACATTCTTCATGAGTACTTAAAAGGTGAAGAAGTAACCAAAGAGAAAACCCAGGAGGCCTAAGAAGTGCACAAAGAACATGTTCAAGGTGATATCTTTAATAAGAGGAGTGGAACTATGATGGTCATCTCCCATGGAAGCAAAGGCTCTTCCTGAGGGCTCTGTCATTCCTGAGGAAATTTTCTGTTCGCTGTGGAAAACACAGCCCAGCTCTGGGTGAAGACCTAAGACATTCAATAATATCAAGAAGCACAGAAAAGCCACTGATTTCCAGGCCATGTTATGGGAATCCTCTTAACACCATGTTAAAGGTTTTGGATATTTTAGGTGAGAAGTTTTTATTTTAGAGTCATTCAAGAAATAGATAGTATCTTACAGACATAGGCTGCCTATGATCTTGTCTAGTGGCCTGCGGCAGAACACTTGGGTAAGCGAATCTCCTACACTGTACAGAAGCTCCCTGAGGACGCCGGCATTACAGCACAGCTGGTACCAGATGGATATGACAAACGATCTTCTCCATGTCTCAGGCATTGCCAAGCAAGAAGACTAGTGGTGGGGTAGAGGTAAGGAGAGCTGCCCAGATGAAGGGCATGAAGGCTGAGGAGGAGTGAGGGAAGGCGCTGGAGACTTGCTGGTGGGAGCCATTGATGCAGTGCCAAGCAAGGACCTTCCATGAGTATGAACTCTTAATTCATTTGCCTTGTGACTTTAAGGAACTTACTTCCTTAAAAGCCTCAATTTCCTCATCTGTGAAAGGAAATGACAGCTTATCTTGGGACTGGCAAGGAATTTATGAGAAAATAACACATGAAAATCCATTTGCCTGGTTAATGGCTCTGGCTACAGTTATCCCCGCTGTTTATAATCAGCACCAGGGCTCCGAGAACCCCACTGTGTCACTGGGCCTGTGTACACAGGCACATTTCCAAGTGTACAAAAAACACTTCCAACACGATGTCTTTAATGAGAAGAGGTGGAACTAAAATGGTCATCTCCCATCGAAGTAAAGGCTGTTTCTGAGGGCTCTGCTATCCCCAAGGTAACATTCTCTCTGAAGTAAAAGATGGCCCCAGTGAGCTACTGGCTTACATGTTTGACTACGACTTATACATTGAATTGAAATGACACAGTGAGTCCCTACTGACAATCTATGAGAATGAAGATGGGATAGAGGGAAGACAGAGGTGTAAACATTAACTAAGCCTGATTCTTCATTTCCTACAGATGCTCTAGGGCATGTGGACCTGTCAAGTCTTCCCCTTCTCTCGATGTGTCCCTCTCCCCAGCCACGTTATTTTAAGTCCTAGTCGGGAAGACTAGAGGCTGCTGGTCTGCCAGGTGTCCATGCGCTTTCATTTCCTGCAGGGAGGGGGGGCATTTAAAGACTTCCTGTTGAGATATTTACAGAGCTGGACTTCTCTCCTCAAACAGTTATTTTAAAACTGTTTCTAATGAAGTTTACAGAGGCAAAAGAAAAAAACCTGCTTGGTCACTGTCCCCAGTGCCTCACAGAACCAAGCATGTGGTAAAGAACTGTTTAATAGCTAAAAATTTTGAAACAATTATTTAGTTGTTAAAGAATAAAGGATACAGTTAAACAGATTTGAAATTATTTTTAAAATAGATTATATGGCAGTTTCATAGAGGAAAAAAAGGCATAGGGAAAGACACCAAAATATTCACCAGCATTTGATTTACACTGTACTTTTGTTCAGCCAGTGTGCCTAGGTTTGCTTGAGATTTGTGATCCTCTTGCCGCAGCTTCTGGAGTGCTGGGATTATAACTGTAGCTCACCATGCTAGTAGCTCTTCTTTATACTTTTTTATATTACATTTTCTAGAATAAACACAAATTGCATTCATAACAAAATTATATTTTGAAAGAATCACACCTTAACTCAGTAGCTGTTTATTTTGAGGAATCAAACCTGAGACACTGAGAAATTATATTCCTAGTAATGTTACACAGAGCAGCAAAGGCATATACAGCAATTTGTATGCACAAAAGAGCTGTTAGAACTAACTCATCATGCTCTGAAATACAGCTAACATCTTTCAAATGTGAGGCAGGAGGAAAATGTTTTATGGGTGTGGGTGGTATACTCTTTAATTCCATTTGAGTTCAAGCTTAGTGAGCTCCAGACCAGTCAGAGATACACAGTGAGATCCTGTCTCAGAAAGAAAAAAAGCAAAAAGAGATGTTTGAGGAGAGATGACTTATTTGGTAAGGGTGCTTGCTGTTTTTGCAGAGGACCTCGTTTTGATTCTCAGCATCCATGTGGCAGTTCACAACCACTGAAACTCTACTTGTAGGGGATCTGAGCCTTCACAGTTACCAAGCACACATGTGGTGCACATACATATATGTAGGTAAAACACACATACACATGGGAAAAAAAGAATGTTTAAGAACACACAAAAAGGAACTGCCTAAGAATACTGGGTGCTGTAGGCTTAAAAAAAGAAAGAAAGAAAGAAAAAAGAAATAAATTGGTAAATAAACCATGCAAAATTCTTGCTGGATGGTGGTGGTGCATGCCTTTATTTCCAGCACTCAAGAGGCTGATCTATGAGTTCCAGGCCTGCCTGGTCTACATAGTGAGTTCCAGGACAGTCAGAACTAGAAAAACCCTATCTAGAAAAATACACACACACACACACACACACACACACACACACACACACACACACACACGCTCACAGCAAATAAACTACAACCATGTCCCAAAATATGCCAATTCAAGTGTAATGATTTCACCTTTATAGTTCTCACTGGCTTATCTCTCCTACCTAGCCAGGCCTCCTGAAATTTCTCTCTAGAGCCTCCAGTGGTGTGGAACTAGGGAAGAAGGCAGAGCTAGGGAAGGTGGAGCTAGGGAAAAGGCAGGGCTAGGGAAGGTGGAGCTAGGGAAGAAGGCGGGGCTAGGGAAGGCCTCTACTATGCTTTGGGAACATGGTTCTGGATCTAAGCCAGTTTTTCCTCTAGTCTTGTGCTTTATTAGTCTAGTCTGATCTTAGCACAAATCCTCCTTTGGTGGATATTCAATTATTTCTTTCGTGCTTTTATTTTTTTCCCCTTGAATGATTCAAGTTTATGCTGCTGTTTTCTGGCAGGCTGGAGACAGAACCCAGGGCCACACACATGCCAGTCAAGTGCTGTGCTGATGAGCCCCAGTCAACTTATAAGCAGTGTATTTTGAGAAAGCCATGTGGGCAGTGTACTGAGGAAGACCCAAGGACTGCAAAAACACTGAATGTAAGGTAGAAAGCCAGATAATCAGTGCTTTAAAAATTAACTAAGGTATGTTGACCTGTTATAGAAAGCCATAACTAATTTCAACTAATACCATGTCCTTTTCAATGGGATTTGCTAGTGTTTTGGGATAAATGATTATTAATGCAGAGATAGGATATATATATATATATATATATATATATCTATTAAATAGTATTACATTTGAAAATATATAGTATTTATTTATTTACTATATTATAAATATAGTACTATTTATAAATTATATAAATAGTAAATATACACTATTTGAGTTCAAGCTTACTTAGTGAATTCAAGGTCAGTTAGGACTACACAGTGAGACCTTACCTCAGGAAATGTGTGTGTGTGTGTGTGTGTGTGTGTGTGTGTGTGTGTGTGTGTATACAAACCCCCCCCCAATGGCTGGACTCCCTTTAATATCAATTAATTTTCTCTTAAATTTGCAATGACAATCATATATAATAAGAGCAGGAGGACAGAGAATCAGGGAATGAGAGAATATCAATTGAGTATTGTTTCCCATGTCTTCCCTAACAGAATTCTGACTTTACTCAGGTATGTGACACGATCAGGAGCCATCTCCAGGATTCTTTAATTAAAACAGTCTGTGCTTCGTCCACAAGCAGGGCAATGAACAAGGAATCAAACCATCAACAAAAGACAAAGTTAGAATAAAATTCAATGAAGCATGATCAAATACATTAGCACACTGTGACCCGTGAACTAATCTTATTAGGACTATTTTCACCTTACAAATAAAGAAACTACAAGTTGAGGTTAAGTGATTCACCTGAAATGAATGGATTCAAACCTTACCCTTCTCAGACTTCCACTCTCAGTTCTCTAATACATGCTGCTTTCTAGAAAGTCAAATAAAAATTTGAAAACCCCAGATGTAGATCAAACCTCAGATGCAAAGACCGAATTGTTGCCAGGCACAGTGATACATGCCTTTAATACCAGCACTAAGGAGGCAGAGGCAGGCAGATTTCTGGGAATTCAAAGCCAGTCTGGTCTTCTACATAGTTAGCTTTAGAATAATAAGAATTACATAAAGAAACCCTGTCTCAGCTGGCGTGGTGGTGCACACCTTTAATCCCAGGACTGAGAGACAGAGGCAGGTGGATGGATCTCAGAGTTCTAAGTTTGAGGCCAACCTGGTTTACAGAGGGAGAACCAGGATAGCGAGGGCTACACAGAGAAACCCCTGTCTTGAAAAACAAAACACACAAAATTAATATTATCCATGTCTTCACAGTAAGACACATATGCCAGAATAATATCCAACCAAAGTGTGGGAAACTATACTTTTTGATTCAATTCCAAGATTCTACTGGTGATATTAACATGTTATGAACTAATAAGTAGTAGAACCATTCCCAGTTTGCAACAGTCATGAAAACTTAACATTATGTACAAGGCTCAAAACAGGAAAGAAAGAGAAAAATGAAAATTAAAGTTGGTAACTGTTACTGCTACTTTTCAGTAATAAAACAAAATAAGTTTCATTTTAAACAAAACTAGTCTTCATTTTTTATATACAGCAAAGCCTTAGTGGTGTCTTCCCAGTGGGTACAAAATTACACGACTAAATCATTACATCTCAAAGTTCACACTGCCATTGAGTTTTCATGAGCTAAGAAAGAATTAATAGCTTTCTAAAGATTGAAGGACTTTTGTGGAATTTCCTGATTAAAACAGCCTCACTCTGCCCCAAATAAATGAGCAAGGAAATCAAAATGACCTACAAGAGGCAAAGAATGAGCCACCCTGGACCGAACCATCCAACCCCAGGAGGCTCTGTCCAACACCGGTGGAGAGGATGTGGCTTATCTTCTTCAGAACCCAGAGGGGGCTGCAGCAATCCACAAAAGCAAACGCCACTGAGGACCAGAGGAGCCTTGGACGTTTGACACTGTTCTCTCACTGAGGACGTGGATCGCTCCTCATTTGCTAGCTCACCTCTGAGATAATGATGAAAGCTACCCATAGCTCTGCAACCCCCTGCGGCCGAAGTACAACGTGGTTGGCAGGTCCAAAACATTTAGGCAACCTTGTTAGAGCACTAACGCTTCCATAACCCATCACCCCTACCAAAAGAATAGTGAAAGAGAAACACCTGTCGCACTGTCACTCCACAACCGTGGTCACGGCGCAGATGTCCACTTTCTGTCGCGACTTGAGCTAAAACCACCTCAAAAAGAGTTCAACCTCCCGCTAGATGACACCCAGCAACTCCCGCGCCTTTCGACTTCCGGGTATGCTGGCGGCCCCGCCCATCACCCGCTTCCGGAAAACGAGGCCCGCCCTCCGGCCCACGCGCTGGAATCCCGCGGTCGCCGCCCCTTCCGGGAAGCCAGCTGCGGAGGAAATGAGCGGCGGACCCTGCCGCGGCCTCCGCGCTGCCTTACCTCAGAGTTACTTTCCTTTTCCGCGGCCAGGCACTCCGGCCCAGGTGAGCACACCGACCCGAGGGCAGGGGCGACAGGAGCTGCGCCTCGCCGTGGCTGCCCAGCCAGGACGGCTCCTGGGCCGTGCGGAGGACGCAGGGACCGAGCTCGGTGCAGGAGTGGCGCCCAGCCGCGCCCAGGCTCACCGGACACCGCGCTTCTCTGAGCGCCCGCGCGGCCCTGCGACCCCCGCGAGGTGAGCGGCACCGACACCCGCGCTCGCGACGCCTCTCCGGGTCCGCTCGTCCTCCTACACCGGAGCTTCGCTGGGTGGGGCGGCGCTAGGCTGCGTCCGCCTCTGTCTCCGCCTCTGCTCACGCCCCGGGGCGGTGAGTGCGGCAGGGCCCG